TTTTTTCCCCTGGTCAATATTGGAAGCGTTTGTCATTTGCTAACTAGAACAACATAAAACTGGTTTTATATATTTGCTCTCTTTTACGCTTGTGTTCCTTTCTCATCGACACCTAAATGGCATAACGCACATGTGTGTTTACACGTACGTAGGCATATCTTTTAAATACGCATATGTGTACACTTACATGTTTGTGCTGGAGGGCTTGCATTATATAATACAGGTAAATTTGTTTGTCTTGCGTAGTTTTCAAGTGCTTTAGGGGGGTATTTTTTTTTCAATGGAAAATCACATCACTGCTTGTTTGTTTGTTTTTTTTTTCCTTTTTACAATTCCTTGTGTGTCAAAGAGAAAGAGAGCTTATGCGAACATAATGTACAGACTTCCATTTGCAAAAAGGGCGTACACCACACGAATTTAACGAATGCCTATTATATTTGTTCGGCAAAGTTAAATTCGCTGCTACGTGGGCAGTACGTATATGCATATATATATGTGTGCATACATATTCATAGGCGTGCATGTACATGTGTGTATACCAACTGTTTGCACATTTTTGCCTGCATGCGCGTGATGTAAAACACACGCAAATTAATTGTAACGAGCCCCGGTGTAATTATCCACGTGGACAACCCAGCTTGGGGGTTACCTTGTTTCAAACAAATGGCATAATTATGTGGTGCAAACAAAAAAAAAAAAAAAAAGGCAGGCAGCACAAAAACAGGGATGCAGCTAATACTGAGGACAAGAAAGAAGGCATACACGCCTTTTCAGTAGTGTGCTTTTTCCACATGCCCCCCGTTTTACCTTCCCCATTTTATTTATCAGCAAAGTGAAAAGTCGTTTGTAGCACACTCTGTGGGGGGAACTTATTTCCTTACATCTAAAATATATTATGGGAGGTCTCGATAATAAATGTTGGAGGGGGGGACATGGCTACTTTCTTATCACAGAACAACGCATCGGTTATACGAGCAGGTTGCGCGATTATAATGGGGCACTTTTGCGCAAACAGCCCAATAGGAGTTTTGTCAAACACTGCGCAATTTCTTTTGCTAACGGTTGTCTGTCAAGCTTAAGCAAATCGTTACAAGTTGCCGGCGACGGTTGCGCGATACTGTTTTTTTTTTTTTTTTTTTTTTGCCCCTTCACATTATGCGCTGATTAGCCAACTCTGCAAGTTCTATATAATAACTCCTTTTTTATGTTTAAAAATATTTTATACGTATCTGCACGAATGTATGCTTATGTGCGCAGGGGCAAAACACACTTGCAGGTGCAGGGTCAAGAGGTTGCCCATTTATGCGCAACCTTAGCGGTATACATGCGTGCGCTATTTTTTTTTTTTTAAGCGTAAAAATGGGGGAATACTCAATTTTTACAATTTAAATTTGCTAGGTTAATTCGTTGCGGCGTATATCTTTTTTTTTTTTTTTTTAAAGTGAGAAATAACCTTTAAAGGAGGAGAAAAAATTGCAATTTTCCCGTTACCCTTCGTTGGGGCGTCGTGCCTTTTCCACTTAAATGGGATGGCACCGCAATATATAAAAAAATACTGCGTGGGCCATATTATAAATAATACACGCATAACGCGATACTTGCATGAACGATGGGTTGAAGGCGTTGTATAGGCCATGTCCATAATGTACTGCGCTGTCGAATGAGCACCGTTTTTTTTTCTTACATGTTTAATCATAACAGGTATAATGCATATATTATAAACTTTAATGTTTACCTCCTTGTTCGTCGCATTACTTGTGCCTAATAGGAACGTCCCCCAACATGTACCATTCGTGTTGCTTCTGTTTCCTGTCTCACATAATAATTTAAGGCAACAAGGGAAATAACAAAGCGGTTTTTTGAGATGAGGGGAATATTGTATGCTTTTTTTTATTTACCCTTTAAAAAGGGGGTACGTATTTCCCCCTTTATAAAAAAAAGAATAACAACTATGTACTCGCCACTTTTTCGCGTCCCATTGTGCATACATAATAAAAACTGTACAAGGCCATTTCTGAACCCGCTGCATTTTCCTTTTGTTCGCACGCATGGCACATATAAAACGATGCGCATATAAAGCATACCCACAATAAATACCAGCAATGCTATGCGAGAATGCGAAAAAAATAAACATAAAAAACTTATGCGTCTCATTCATTTTATATACAATGAACGGGGTAAACAAAATATAAAAAAACGCGCAAGGCAGGGGTAAACATGTATCGCAATGTAAAAGCACGTAAAATAATATTATACGTTGTACGTATTTATGCATTGGCTTATCATAAAGCAAAACTATCACCAACAATCCGCAACCACGCACTTTATGCTTTTATGTAAAATAAAAAATATATATTTTATAAATATCGCCCAAAAAAAGGAAACGTCAACATTTATATAGAAAAAAACAGCCACCTTATTATAAATTATATATTAACATTTTAGAACCGCAATTTAAAAATCCCCCCAATAAACACAAAAGCACAAAACGCTTTTTTCGTTTTTTCCAACATATATTAAATCTCAAAGCATACTATAATTCTACTTGTAAAGAAACAAATCACAAAAAGTGAAAGGACAATAAACAGAAAAAACAAAAAAAAAGAAATGACATAAGAATCTCCAAAACGGAAATATCTTAACAAAAATCCCCACAACGCAAAATAAGATCCAAAAGTTCAAAAAGCCCAAAGTTTTACAAAAAACAAAAAGCCCCTTTTGGTTTTTACCTTTTTCTTCATTTAGTTATAATATAAAATACATTTACAAGAATTTGTATAAATAAACGAACTGTACATATATTATATGTATGTATGCAACTTTTACATTTCATGTTCTATTTCGTTTTGACAAAGTTTTTTAAAAATGTTCGCGTTTAACAATGCAAAGACGAAACCTCTATTTTTTGTTTTTTTCAAAGTAAAAAATAAAAAGTAGTAGGAAGTAAGGCATGATGAACGGAACATGAAGCATTAATACATTTTACTATATAATATATTACATTGTACATTTCGTATAAGCACGTTGTGCCTCCAACAAAGAAAATAAAAAAATGAGTGAACTGTTCATATGATGATGTTATCGTTAATGCGCATTTTATTTTACCTTTTTTTTTTTTTTTTTTTAAATGAAAGCAAAGGTGTAGAAAATTATGAGAACGAAATGCCTTCAAAAAAAGTACAATTAATCTACGTATTTGTTCATACATCCATATAGCACATACACTTTTTTTTTTTTTTTTTTTTTTTTTTGCATTTATTTATAATGCAAATTTTTAGTATGTATGAGCCGTTCATGTGTACAGCACGTACATCTGTGTATGTGTACAGTACTTAAAGCAGTTTATGAGTTCAGCACGCATTTGACGTCCGCATAGGAAGCACGTATTCAGCACATACTCGTCACATCACGTATCGCATAGACGCCGCACACTGATCGCTTACACGTCGCACGTTTTACCTGCATACCTGTTTATAATTAGCCCTGGTGTGTCGTACTCATGCGCTGTATGCACTTTACCTTTACTTGCTTAGCACGTACGGATAAACAAATCCACATCACGTATTCGCAATATACATTTGTATAGCACAACGTTGCAACGTCTGTATGTTACGTACGCATGGTATTGCTCGTTTCGCACGTGTTTACGGCCAACACAATACGCCTAGCAAGCACACACTTATTTAACCCTCTGTACCTTTGTTCTGTACGTATTTATACACTTGGACGCCATCTGCACTTGCGATTTTACACCGCATTGAACGCATTTGTGCCCTTCATTCCATTGTCCGTACGTCGAGCACGCACACCTGAACTACACCTCTATCATAAAAGCTTCATTAAAAAAAAAAAAAAAAAAAAAAATGATAGGAACTAAGAATGAAGTAAACAATAATGATAATCACAAAAGAAAGTTCCTTGAAGAGAATAAAAACCATTTCCACCATAAATATAATAGAGCAAATAAAAGGAACAGCATTGGAAATAATGGAAAGACAAAGGGAGGAGATGTAGAAGGAGGAGGCGAGCGAGGAACCGCGTTCAACAAAGGAAATAGCAAATACATATTTGAAGGAAGTGTGAAAATAAAAAACAAAAGTAACCACATTTTTTACAACAAGGCCCAGGTGTTTAATCGTGACATGAGCATTATTTTAATAAAAGCGTTAGAAATATATTTAAAAAATAAAAATAAGGATAACGGAAAAATCCTGTTCAGAGGATTTAACGTCGTCGAGTTGTTAAGTGCAAGCGGAATAAGAAGCATAAGGTATGCAAAGGAATTACGAGAAACCATAAATCATATTATCACAAATGATATTGACAAATATGCATGTAAGCAAATAAGGAGAAATTTTAAAAGAAATCAAATTAATAAGGACAAATATACAATTTTATGTAATGATGCAAATAGTGTTATGAACATTCTTAATGTGGACAATATTTATTCGAAAAAGAGAAACATGAAAAAATTAGACGTTGGTTTTACCTACGTCAATAACATCACGGATTATAACGACTACTTCAAGGAAGCTTTGAAGTTTTTAAAATATATAACGAATTACAATAGAGGCAGAGGCAACAACGAGATTAAGGAAGACATGAATATTAATAACGCCCCGCATCATAATAATAGTAATAAACATAGTAAGAACGGTAAGAGTAAGGTGGACATGAAAAATAAGTCTATTGAGGATCACAATGATTTCGAGGACAGTGACTCCACTGCTTTCTCGAGCAGTGAGGAGGCCTTCACCAAAATTGATATGCTGGACGAGGAGCGCGACGAAACGGTGTACGCGGAAAGGTCAAATGGGCCAGAAGGAGGAAGTGGGCCCTTGAAGGGGGAAGTAAAGGGTGAAGTAAGCAGTTCACTAAACGGTTCCGTAAATGGTGCACTAAACGGTGCAGCAGACCACAGAGAGACGAACCCATTCGTGGCCACGAAAAACGCGGACGAGAAAACCCCCCTAAGCGAAAACATGATGGATGAAATTATTCAAAAGAGCAAACTCACGGAAAAGTACATGTTCGATATAATCGACATAGACCCATACGGATCCTCCATAGAATATTTGGAAAGCTGCCTAAAATATGGAAGAAGCAATTTCTTCATATTAATAACCAATACAGACATGAGAGTATTGAATGGAAAATTCCCAGATGTTTCTTTTTACAAATATAACAGCATGATATTTAGCAAAAGAGTTCATTACAATAAAGAGTATAGCATAAGAGTTTTGTTTTACAAAATAAAAACGATCGCCTCCAAGTATAAGAAGTGTGTTATTCCATTTTCTTCTCTTAACATTGATTTTTACATTCGCATATTAGTACAAGTCATAGATGATACCTTACAGACAAAGGACCTCTGCACCGATACTGGGATGGTTTATCAGTGCAACAATTGTTCTAGCTTCCATATCAACCCCTTGGCATTGAAAAAGGATAGGAATATACAAGTAGGGGATAATAAGAGGTACTGCAAGAGGGGGAAACAGAACAAGCATAAGGATGGAGCATTTGTAAACACCGAGGAGGAGGAGGACATCGACGAGAACAAGGAAAAGGAGGATGTCCACAATGCAGAACATATTCCACATGCACAGTTAGACCATTTGCATGATGATAATAAGCATACTTATGAGAAGGAAAAAGTCATAGGTGGAGACTTTGCGAACGAAGCGACTGATGGGGACACCGTCGATAATGTGGAGGAGAGGGTTAATACGGTTCATAAGGGATCATTTGATAACGTGGTTGAGAATGAAGACAATTTCGAACGACCGACCAATGGCGAAGATGCTGGCAATTTGGAAAATACTGTGCATAGCGAGCACACACAAAATGCGGGAGATGTGGCTGGCGACGGGCCTGATAACGCCGCTGCTGATGTGAGGACTGGGGGGCCATCTTGCACGGGCCGACCAGCGCACAGCAATCCCGGCATAGGGAATAAATACAAAAGCGGAAAATTGACCATTTCCAACAAGTGTGTAGAGTGCGGAGGAGATATGCTGATAGGTGGCCCCATCTACATCGGCAAGTTGCACAATGTGGAATTTATCCACACGTGTATATCGTTACTGGAAAATTTACAAGACTACAATTTAAACACCATTACGTCGAGGGATAGAATATTAATAAATTTTAGGTGCCTAAAACAGGAAATAAATATTCCATTGTATTATAATTTGCCAGACTTATTTAGAAATTTTAGACTGTGCTCCATCTCTAGAAAGCTGTTCGTGAATGCCTTGCTAAATTTGAATTATGAAGTTTCATATTTTCACAAGGACCCAGATAGCGTCAAGACAAATGCTCCTAACGATGTCTTTATGGACATTTTTCGTGCCATTATTTATAAAGTAAATTCGAAAAAGAGAATTCCTGATGCAGTGGAAGCGAAGAAGGAAGAATTGAATGCTCTGAGCAATCAGAAAAACGAAACCACCGAAGAGAGTCCTAAAAAAGTATATTCCATAAAGACCATAAAGGATGAAAAGTTGAGGGAAAAATTATTGTCGTATGAATTTTTTAAAAAGAATTCCACCATTGACAATATAGATATTTCTGTTAGTAATAAAGAAAATACTGATCATGTGAAATTGTTCACCTTGCTGAACCCCGAGCCTTATTGGGGCCCCATGAAGAAGCACTTTGAGAAGAACTGAGGCTTCGTTCGACTTGTGTCCAGTTTTTTGTAGACACATATTTTTGCAGCTCCCAAGTTTCCTATCCCCCCCCCCCTGCCCCGTCTGTTTCACAACAGCGCTGTTTTTGCAGCTTGCCAATCTGGCATAGCAGCCGTTTTGCGGTTCCGTGTTTTTGCAACGCACCCTTATGATGTTGTGCGTTTATTTTGCGGCGCGCCTAGTATTTTGTGTGTCCATTTCGTAGTATGCTTCTTTTGTAACACCACGCCTGTTTTGTAGCTTCATGCCTATTTTGTATTATGTCGCCTGTTTTGTAATCTGCCTCTTTTCAAAATGTAGGGTATTCTTATTGTCCCTCAACAATTCCTCGTATTTCAAAGCAATCCAGTACACTTTTTTTTAATTTTCGTCTGAATTTTTTTTTTAAGAAAACGGGGTGTATTTGATTGTACTCTTTCAATTTACAATTTGTATATAATCATTTTTAAGCATCTTATATATTTCAAAATATGTTTACATGTGTTTTTAGACATGTTTATATATATCTTGTTTAATATTTGAAATTATGCAAAAAAAAAAAAAACTTTTTATAAAAGCATCACTTCAGTCTTTAGTAACTCCAAAAAAAAAAATTATTAATCTCTCTCTGTCCTGTCCACCACTGTTTTCTGAATCCCACATGTATATTTGTATATATACGTCTTGTACGTGTGTATATAGAAGTATATACATGCATGTAAAGCAGAATTTATGTTCTAACAAAAACACACTGTATTTGGTAACTGCTCTATACATTATAAGAAAAATCTCACAAGCGTGAATGTCGCCATCGGAGCGGCTGAAATGAGGAAAAAAACTTCTTTAGCGCTTGGAAAGAGGCACACACGCTGTGCGTAACATTGTGGGTACAATGATTCCCATTCGTGGAGTATGAAAAGGTGAGGCCTCCTGAAAGGCCTCTATTTTTGCACAAAAAATTGGAAGAATTGGATACCAACGTACTTCTTTCCACGCAGTGAGAGAGGAAGTGTACCGCTAGCGCACTTTACACCGTTTGTCCTCTTCCCCGTGTGCAATGTTCAAAATAAGGCTTGATATGCACCCGTAGCACGCCTAACTAAAAATAACCGCATGAGGTGACGGAACGATATGGCAGGCTAGAAACACCATCACCGGGGATTGCTATCTAAATCCTCCAAATGGGGGCGAAGAAGTCTGTGCCGCTCTTTTGTACTTCTCCCCCTTACCCATCTTGGATGGTGCACAAAATAGCACAAGATGATGTACCACAATATAACACCCGGTTAACAAAGGCAAAAAAAAAAGTATTCCTAATTTATTTCATACCTACGATTGAGGAGTGGGAGATCCTAGTAGATGCGCTTTAGACCGTGCGTGTGCAAACTTGAACAAGGAACACCCGTGTGCGCGGTTTTGTGTAGAAAAACTGACAGGATTGGCATTATAGAGGAAAGAAGCATTAAGGAGGGAAAACAGCCGCCTATCCACTTTGCCGTCAACTGACTAACGCGGTAACTTGCTAAGTGTGAGGGCAAGGTTGATCGCAAAATGGCTCAGTCTCATGTCGAAATTGCCAAGCAGCTGAAGCACAACTCGGAGGAGATAAAGGAATACTTCGAGGATCTGTACGCGTGGCAAAGCGAAGTTAGCAAAGATGTAGGAGCGAGTAGTGGGAAGGAGCAACCGTCATTAGTAAGAAATGGCGCTGCCGCTAAACCAGAGATGAAACAGGGCCAGGATGGACAAGGGGGGCAACCCCATGGGAGGACGTCAAAGGTTGTGGATCCCAACGGTGCTCACATTGACGGGGAAACAAAATGGACACGAAATAATAATGCCCTAAAGAGAGACCAAAACTCGCTGGAGAGCTACTACAGTGCGTGGGATAAACTCAAAGTAGATGATATTGATAATAACGAAGAGGAATCAACTGGTCATGGTGGAGGCTACATGCGGGAAGCACCGCAGGAAAACGAAAAGGGAGCACATTCTGAGGGGTCAATTCATGGAGCGGAGAACACGGAAGAAGCCCCTACCGTGGAGATGGAAGGAGGGAAAAAAGCCTACATGTGCAATAGTAGCTACGGAAATGTGGAAACAGAAGGTGGGATAATTGAAAGTACCAATTGTGTGCTCAACGCACGAAATGAAGAAGACCGATTAGTGAAGGTCCGATCCAAAGTGTATGATATGTACCTCTCCAAAAACGAAGAAGGAAAACTTAACTACCAAAACAACAGGTACCATAAATGCCTAGAAAATTATAATGACCTAATTAACTATATCGACTTCGAACTAAGCAACAATAATATATTTTTACAGATCGAGCAAAACCTAGATAATGAGTTATACTTAGATGTACTCTCCAACAAAAAACAAATTTTTATGAACAAAAATATTGAACAGTTAAGTATTCTTAGGACTAAAGTTCTTGTGAACAGATCATTAGTGTATCAGAGAGTGTCTTGCTATTTTGAAAGCATAAATGATTGTTCTTCCATAATATTATTTTACCATTATTTTTTGCCTGAGCATAAAAATTGTGCTAACTACTGCATAGCTAAAAATTCCCTTACGGTGAATATTAAGTATGTTCTTTTCAAGGCATACTACTTAAGAGGGATGGCCAGATATAAGCTAAAAATTTATAAATTTTCTCTTAAGGATTTTAAATCTTCCAAGGAGTGTGCAAAGGATATGAACAGCTGTTCCACCCTCAATATTGACAAATCAATTCAGCTGCTACAAAATGTGATAACACAAAATGATGCTAAAAGACGGACGAGGAGACAAGCTGAGTACACATCTACCCTTCTAGAGAGATACAAACTAAAGCCAAGGCTGTTAGCTATTCAACTTATATCAAGAGAGCACACTGCAGATGTGACCCCCTTGGAAAATAATAGCAACGGCGTTAAGTGCCTCACGGCGGTGTCCAACACGGAGGAGACAAGTACCCGGTGTGCATCTGGGGGGTGGAGTTCCCCTTGTGAGGAAACGAAATACCTACGGCATTTCTGTCAAGGGGGGAATCATCGAGAGGTGGATGATGGGGCGAGCGGCCGGGTGCGAAAAAACAACAGCGTGGAACAAGCGTCTGAGGGGGAGCACAACAATGTGGGGCATACGGACAGGGACATTGAAAAGAATAGCCACATGGATAATCACGCGCATTGCCACCACGACACGGATAGCAGCCTCACGCTGAGCGATAACACCGCGCTGAGCGACGTGGAAGAAATGAAGCCGCCCCTGCTCACCATTTCAAATGGAGCAAGCCTTGGGGAAAACAAAATTAAAAATAAGATAAGCTTTGAACTCCTTTGGAATTCAAATGAAATAAAAAGTAATTTCAAAAAACAAATCGATATTCTCAAAACTGCTTTTTTGGAAGAAGGCATTTTCGAGTTCAACCTCGATAAAGACATTTACGTAGATATATTGGACTCCCTTTTTAAAAATAACTTTTTGTCCTTGTTTGAAAATGTGGACAACGAGGAGGGCATAAAAATAAAATTGCAGAGAGGCGCCTCCACAGAGCTTTCCAACAATGCTGATGAGGATACAAATAAAACTGCCCAGTCACCTTCGAACGGAGAATTGGCCCATGCCCAACAAAGGGAAGATGTGGGAGAATTGCTAAACTGTGCCGAGTGCGTAGTGCTCATAGACATATTATATATCCTCACGAATGGCGGAAAGGAAAACTATGTCCTCCTCTTTGTCGACAAAAAGGAAAGAACATTATTACTAACGTTTTACAACTTTATATTGAAGTATACAAATGTGTTCCTCTGCAATGAAAACTGCCTAAGGCAGAAGACTCTTTTGTTGAAGGAGTTGCTCGAAAGGATATCTTAAAAATGCGTGTACTTAAAAATATGTATGCACTTAATAATGCGTGTACTTAAAAATGCGTGCATTTAAAAATGCATATATGCCTAAACACACACACACATTTAAAAAAAAAAAAAAAGGGGAAACGAAAAATTTTAATTAAACCGCATATGCATGTGCCTACTTGTGCGCACACGTACACATGCATATGCTCTGAAAAGACATATCATATAATATATATATATATACATGAGTACTTATTCAGTTAAATTGGGAAATTTAATTAGGGGAAACATAAATGCATGCGCAGCATATTTAAGTATTATTCATATTTAAAATGGGGAGCATATGTAGGTACACATGCCTCGAGGAGGGAGTGGATATACGAAAGAGACGAGAATTCGCTTTGGCACTTTGAAAAAAAAGAGAAAGCCAAAATGCAGGATAATCACATATAAGTAAAAATGCACAAATAAGTCATATATCGGGCCTACGGCCTGCACACATGTGCGGGCATGTATATATACATATCTATGCGCGCTGTTGAAAGGTGAGTGCCCGTCCAAGTAGAGGGACCTAATATACACGCGCAAGCGCAGCAACCTACATAAAGGTACACTTTTTCTTCTTCTTTTTACCATTGGAAAAGGTCGTACTAGACTTGACACACTGCATATTATTTTTGGAACTGCTTCTATCATAATAATCCAAATAAATAATAGAACTGTTTAAATTCTTTTGCAAACTTTTCTGAGTCGATATGCACCTAAAATTGTTATCGTAGTAGGAGGTGTCATTATCCACATTGTCAAATAATTCCCATGTACAACTCAAATGTAGAAAGGAAATGTCTGCAGCCAGCAGGAACAGTTTATTTTCATATTTAAAAAGGGTGTTAAAATGGTTATTCCTAAAAAAGGCTACAAGTTGATTTGGGTTCAAATTTTCCTGCAATAATTGCAACCCAACTAATGTCAATTGAGTTTTGTACGTTTCTAGAAATTCCGAAATAACTAGCGCTTCGTTAATTTCATATGGAGTTAAATTTATATCTGTACTGTAATTTTTCATAATAAAATTTTCACTATTTTCTGTATAATTATCTGCTATGTCTGCATTTGCTGTTTCGCTAGTTAAGCTAGCTATTTCGTTGGATTCCATAAAGAGTTCTTTATTTCTGATAGCTTTTTCGTCCAGGGAGGATTTTTTCAACCTACCCTTGGTATTTCCCTCAGAAGAGTATTCAATTGGAATTAGACTTTTGCAGGTGGTCGGTAGGGGGTCCTCCGGAAATTTTGGCGTCTTTACCACGCTCCCATCGCCGATGTTGTTATCTTTGCTGATGTGGCTAACAACACTGGCAACGGTACTTATATTTGCATTAGCGCTAGCAGTAGAGTTCCTATTGGCGCTGTTTTTTTCTGCAGAGATGTCCACATTAGTTGGTGTCTTACCTTCCTTCACAACAAATCCGTCCGACTTCCGCCCCGTTTCCGTGCTGTTCTTATTTGTACCGTTTTCTAAATCTACACAGCACGGCTGCTTCAAGTTAATCACGTTGCTTTGAGTTCCACTTTTACTGCCACACGTATCTCCACTTGTTTTTTTTTTGCCTAAATATGTGTTCTTCTTTTTTGGTGTGTCTACATCTAACGGAGCGACAGTGGTAACGGGCACAGAGGAGCTATCTTGCAATAATTTTTTTTTGGAATTTTTTTCTGATATTTGATCAAGGTCATCTGGAAAGATGGGTACACTCTTTGTGCTTTTTTTTTTATTATTTTTTTCTTCTGTTCTTTTGCTTGTTCCTTTGGCTAAGTCGACGGCGGCATCGTTGGTGACACCTTTGTAGTCACTGTTGGAGGCTCCTCCTGGGTTATTTATCGGGCCATCCATGAGAGCATGCCTTTCACAGGGGTTTCCCAAATCGCAGTCATCCCTTTTTTCCTCCTTCAAATCCTCCAACTGGTACAAACTGGTGCTTTTCTCATTGGACGGTTCGTCTGCGTCCTTTTTTTTCTTTCTCTCGTGGTATTCATTATATCTCACAATTTTATTTATTATTACATTGTAGGAGTAATCTTTCAAGTAGGAGTAAAACATTCCATCGTCCGACGAGATGACCCATCCATGACATAATGGGATGTTCAGCATGTCAAAAATACACAACCCCTTTGTGTACTCAAATGAATGAATATTACTAAATTTACAATTAACGTCTAGTCCATATTTTAACTGGGGTAATATATCTACACACTCGATTATGTTTTTCCTATAATTACACGACGCGGTGTTATCAGTCACATTTTTCCTATTGGACTCTAACAGTATGTTCATAATTTTAGTTTCAAGGAAGCTCTGCGATATTTTTTTAATTTTTTTGTCAATCTGTAACTGGTTACGTAAGAGTAGAATGTTCGTAATGCACAAAAGAGGACATGGTCCGCTTTTATTTTGCAACAAAATAGGTACTCTCCTGTTTATGAAGTTGATCCATTTTACACTATAATAATTTATGTTTTCATTTTCATAATTTACAATTTCGTATATTTTATCGTATTTTTTTAGTACATAGGATTTGAACGTCTCGTAGTCGGCGCACCGAATGATCATATTTTCTTCTTCGTCATTTTTCTCATCATAATGCAATTTGATCATAGTTGTCATTTTTCCCTTTTCTTCCTATCAGAGAAGGTTCATTCCTGTGGCTTCCCTAAGCGCCTCATAATATGCGACGTTCGTAAGGGAGGGGTGGGGGCTTCACCGTTGTTAGGTGGCTTCACTGATGGCGAGAAACTCAACGCTCACAAGACGCGATGGTGTACCCAAGGCGCCCTCGGACACACGAAAGGTTCAAATGAACGCAGCGGGAAAAAAAGTGGTCTCTAATCTGACCTGACAAATTGCTGTATAAGGTAGAAAAACGAAAAAAAGAAAAAAAAAAAAATCCCACAGCTATCTTTTACGTACGTGTACCATCACAAAAAAAAATATGAAAAAAAATGAGAGCGTGGAGGCATTTATTTAAAAAGTTCGTTAAAAACATGGTTCCACAACTAATCAAAAAAAAAAAAAAAAAAATGTGGAAACATATATATGTATATATATGTACATACAGTTGCGCAGGAGAACGCACGATATGATACATGAACTGATGAATGGCTGGGGAAATTTGTTTAATTTTTTATATAAAGGAGAATTGTATGGCATTAGTCTCCTGCAAAGGCATCAGGCAAATAGCTCATTGATGCAATGACAACACGACAATATGTATCATTTTTTCTCTGAGGAGCGAAAATGAGTTGTGGTAAAGGCGGCAACATGTACATTATTTTATATATATATATATATTACGTATGTATGGAAATTCGAAATGCTTTAAAAAAAGTGAGGAAAATGCACCCAACGGCAACTGGTTACGCAAAAGTGCGAACTGCAACAGGGAGAGCAGCGGAAAGGGCAATTATTTCCTTCACCGTAAAAGCAAACGCCCTGTGAGGTGCAAAAAATATTAGCAGCGAGTCAACCCCATATATACCATACGACATAAAAATACCAGTGCCGAAGAATGCGATTGTGGCATAATGGTACGTACAAATAGGCATAAATATATACAATATGAATAATATTATATATGTATATATAATACACTGTAATTGGATATGCAAATGGGGATGCTAACATTTTGTAGCTTTAACAAATAGGATGAACAGCCATTTGGCTATGCACAACCTTCATGTTCCATTTGTCTATTCATGAATACTTACCCCCCGCCTCCCTACACGTTATTGTAAAGCAGGCCAATGTAATAACTCATATAAGTACAAAAAGCAAAAAAAAAAGAAAGACGCATTGTTTTTGTTCTCGCATATATAAAAACAGTACTCAATTGAACCCCATGAGTAAATGAACAAATTGCTATGCCCCACATGATGTTATTTTGATTAAAGTAAAAGGGAAAAATCCCCAGTTTCGCGATTTGCCTGATTAACATAACTGGAACAGCGGAACATATACGAAAAAAAAAAAAAAACAGAACAAATAGCTGATGTACCTTTTTCGCACAAATGGAAGCGCTATACCATTGTGCATACGGTATGGCATTTATATACTCATTCGCACACGTCCAATTTTGTGTTTTATACGCCACATGGCCGTCGCACGTCATTAATAGGAACAGAATTAAAGGTATAATTTTAAAAGCGGAGAATTGTTTTAAACAACGGGTATTTCCTTCCAACGCGCAAATGGAGTTAAAACAAATTCTTCACATCATTTTGCACAACAATTCGGTGTATGGAGAATTGTACGTTTTTATGTGCATATATGTGAGTGCATAATGCATGGGTCATATTTGGTAGGAGACCCTTCCCATCGACGCAGTTTCTGGAGAACGTGGAAAATACGGCTCAGTCGTTTAGCATTGTGAACATTTCGGGAACACGCAAAAGGAGGTTTTCTGTGAGAAAGGACCTTGTACCATCTTTATTAAAAACGACTTCGTGGCGTCAGAAAGGGTAGACAGTCAACGTTCCGCCGTTTCTATTGGATATACATAACACTACTTAATGAGGGTGATGCTGAAATGTCAGGCGTATTTCCTCTCTGACGTTGCTTATAAGGCGAAGGGGGACAGGGATGCTATTACATGGAGCCGTTCAAAAAAAGGATTAATTAAAAGTTACGGTTTTCAAATGATAATGTAAAGTTTTGAGCAAATGTGTTAATTGGGGTTGCGGTGCCGTGCACAAACGGGCACATACATCGAGGTGTGGTGTGTAAGCAGGTCCGCAAAAAAAAAGACAAAAAAAAAAAAAAAAAAGCGCTAACGGTGAAATGTTCGGAGGACGCTCTCGTATAATACAAACGGGGCAATTATTTTACTGTGCATACGCATAGGTGGTGATGTGATGTAGGTTCTGGAGACGGACCACGACCAATCCAGCATCGCCCCCCCCCCTTTGCTACCTATACGCCTACATGCCTACTTGACGTTACCTAGTTGTCCTGGTCTACCCCCCAAAAAAATCTCCTTCACATCATCTGTTCCAAGTTGGGTGAACTAATTAAGGGGCATCGACTTCGCCGTGCAGTAATTTTCACTGGTGGTTGCATTAAACATCTCGCCCAGCTCATCGGAGGAGTTCTTTTGCGAATTATCTAAGTGCATACCTGCCGCATCCGCTTCCTCCTCGTCCGCCCCCACTTCTGTGTTAACCTTTGGCATTACTTCTTGGCTTCCTAACGAGTCGTGCGACGATTTACACTTGCGTAATGTACCCAAGTTTATAAGAGCATTATTTTTTACACTTGCCATTTTTATTAAATCGCCTGGTCTTAGAGAATTGCTCAATTTTTTGCGACTATTGGCACAAGTTTTTACGTACTTTGGGAGGGTGTTAAAATTTCCACTTAGATAATTTCGTCTTTCCTCAAGTATACCTCCTGGCAAAATTGTTCTGTCCTTTTGGGTGCCATAGAAATTTTGAGAAAAACTATGCCTTCTCCTCTGTTGGTCATTTATGTTGATACTTCTTCCCCTGGTAAAGATGTGACTCCCTCTGCTCTTGGAAGCAAACACTGCGTTCGAATTCGGCAACGCGTTTTTTGTGTGACCCATGCAATTCATCTGAATGGTGGAACTTAAATTTGACATGGACCTATCCAACTCCATCGGTAGGGAATATGCAGTTCCCATCTTGCTGTTACTATATTGCAAATTATACGTGTTGATAAAATCGGTTTCCATCATGGATTCTTCATTTTGGTCATGACGGATACAGGTGTGGAATGAATTTGTCATATGGCTAATCAGCCCAGGAAACTTTGAAAAGGGTATCATATTTATTAAATTTTGTACAAACATTTTCGAAACTGCAAAACAGTATTGCTTAAATGTGTAATTCTCCTTATCTATATGCTCTAGCGTTTCTCCAACATGATCGCAAAATTTATTATATTTGTTTCTCATGCTTTGGATTAAGTATGGTAAATTTGAGAAGAGAAAATCATCATAATCATCATCATGTATGCTGCCACCTTTTTTCGTATGAAAGCTGCTGGCAGGGTATTGTTGTGCATTTGTAGTAGTTTCTGTCTCATTTGGGATATTGAAGTTTGGCAAATTTGAATATGTCTTTGATATACATCTATCCTTTTCATTTTGGTGTGGAAATGTGGGTAAAGACAAAAGGGTAGCGCTTTTTGCTACCTTTTTGTTTTTCCCTTGCAGTTTTTGGCTCTGGTATTTTATAAACATGCTGCGTATTCCTTCATAGATGGGGAAAATATGAATGCCCGTAATTATGCTGTGAAATTTTAAATATTCTGGCCACCTCAATATGGTGTTTATTCCTAACGGGGGGTAATTTAAATTGATGGAGTTTGAGCTCGTATTAACAAGGACTCCATCGTTTGTGTACACCTCCTCTTTGTTTGCATCGCAAAGCCCGTCTAGCATCTCATTCATGGTGTCTATAAACCAAAGACCTGTTTTTTCCGTGTTTTCCATTTGTTCCATTTTGTATGAAGTCCTATGCAGACAATCAGCGCTATCCCCTTTATCAAATGTTACCTTCCCTCCACTGGGGCATGTTTCAAATTTGCGACTACTTCCCCCACTTTTTAGGCTACTTTTCTGATGCCTCAAATAATCCTCCTCGCGCGATTTTTCACTTGTAACGGATTTCCTTCTACTATATCTCACACTTTTACCCTTCTCCGTGTCGCTGCCAAAATTGCCATCGTAGCTACTATCCTGTTCCAAATTTCTTAAAATGTTTTCTTCTAAAGTTGCGCTCGTTAGTGTTAGCACATGGTTGCTTCTGCCACTCTTGTAAGCGTTTGCACTCTGGGTGCCCCCCTGAAAGGGGTAGGCTGACCCCACTACTGACTGCACTTTGCTCACTTGTGATTGAGAGTTTTCACTCCTGTCCGAGTACGAGTAGCAATTTTTATCATCATTGAACAAGTCACTTTTCTCTTCCGAACTCTCCATAATTTTGTTATACTCATCTTCTCTCATTTTTTTTTTTTTCTCTCTCTCTTCGAAAGAGTCACCAATGGAATCGTTACTTTGTAAGAAATTGTAATTGTCAGATAATTCTCCGAAACTTCTAGACTCTTTTTTTCTCTCTTCATATGGATTAATTCCGGATGTCATTTCCCTGCACATTCTACTTTCGCTGTTACACCTCATCGTGTAAGATTAGCTTGTCTTTTCGATTTTTTAATTAATTTTTTTTTCTTCACCTTTTTTGTGGGAAGAATGTTTAATTTATTCCCTGCACAAAGGACAATATTTTTCCCTTTGTTCTTTTTCACCCCAGCGCGTACGAATGGTATAGCATCTGAGGCGGTCCACTGGAGCAGTTCAGAAATGGGATGGTCTTGCGCATATGCTCATGCGTACAAAAACGATTCGCATCAAATTTTGGCGAAACGATGCGCACGAATGGGTTCCAATCTCAGGATCGATAATGTTTTTCCCGCCGATGGCAATTCACGCCTATGCAATTTTCGGGAAAATACAAACAAATATGTGCATCCCACAAATGGGCTGGGTGTGAACTACGCACGCAAAAAAAAAAAAAAAAAAAAAAAAGGAGCAATAAAATGGTCATCAAATGGAACAAGGCGCTGGTAAGAACCTGTGCATTGCTAGGTAAATGTACTCATGTAAGTACGTATGTATGTACTCTCTGTTTCGGTCTATTTCGTCCTAGCGGCGTTGCTAACATGGCAGAGTACGGAGGGCAGGGAACTCTCATATGGGGAAGTGCCTACTCTCCTATTCATTTACGGTTCAATGAAGCAGACAAGAGAAACATATATATATATATACATATAACGAATTGCAACTAACGAACTGATGAATAACGTGCAAACGCCCTATGTACTCGAGCTAATTTTTTTTTTTTTTTCAAATTTGTGCCTGCTCGTGAAACATATATGTGTACACACGCATGCATATCTATGTTACTGGATTACGTTTGGTTCATTTGAAAGGTTATATTAAAATGGGAAGAACAAACCTCGCGTCGTGAATAATGGCAAAGGCTTCTATACAAGTCGTTGTGACACTATGTGTACAAGTACTCTCGTCAATATAGTAGTTGCCATAAATTCCACGGACCTGATGGTCAGCGGAGGGGCACAAAAAAAAAAATAAATATATCGCTCTTCACTTAAAGACGGACAGGTGCTATCAAATGCAGGTAAAGCATCAATAGGGGGTATTAAAAATATTCTCGTGTGATATATATTTTTTTTTTGGCCAGACGTAGCAATACAGGCAGGTCAAATGGCGCGTCACCAATGTGGCCTTTTTTCCAAAAATGCTTCTTTGTCTTCTGCGAGCTTACATTGGCAAGGGGCTAAAATATGCACTTGCTCGTATCAAGAAGGTGAAATAGAGAAACGGTTAAACGGTCACAAAATAAGTACCGCGAAAACGCAAACTCGTCACGTTCCTCTCTGTGGGGAACGTTTTTTTTATTCTTCCGCCCCAAAAGGAGCACTTCAAATAAAAATTAAAAAAAAAAAAACAATTATTCACATGTAGAAGCTGCAAGAAGGAGAGTAAAAAGATTACACATTCATTTACTTGAAAACAAAAGGGAAAAAAGCTGTAAAAGTGGACGTATGCACGTAAGCATGCATATATATATGTGTGTATATATGTGCATACATGTGTGTACGGGTGTATGCACTGGGAGAGAAAAAAAAAAAAATTAACCATGCGGGGGGGCACACTAGTTTCCTCTTTAACGCGGCATTTTTACTAAACTTGTCATCGCGTGCAGGTGCTCGCATGTTCTCTCACATGTGAATATAAAGTGGTTAAGGGAATAATTTCATTTTAAACTTTTTCATAATACTATGTGTGGGCAAATGCGTATATCGCGTATGTAGTATACCCGTTGTGGTATGTGCAAAATGCGGGCTAAACAGAAAAAAAAAAAACTGCGGCAATTTTAACTCTACAAGAAAATTGTGTTTTTTTACTTACATTTGTAGAAATACATGCACAGGTTTCCTCATTTTATTTTTTTGCTTTTTTTTTTTTTTTTTTTTCCAAGTAGCCACATCAGCCACATTTTGTATGAACTCAAAAATGAATTTCCATTTTTGGCCTGTGGCATCCAGCACATTTATTAATGGCTCATTCGCTTAAAAAAAAAAATTGTGCTCTAATTCGAAATGCCTACATGCAGAAACCGCACACATGCACATTCCCCTGCATGCAGTTTATGCCCAAAGGGGAAGGACGCCGATGCGCAGCGTTTGTGCAACGTTGCTGTTGTACTGTAAGAGGAATTAAAGAAAACGGGACCATATTAAATCGTTCATCTCGAATGCGGTGGGCAAGACATAAGATCAATAAGGTCAATATGGTTAGCTGTGCTTAAACAAGAAAGTAAAACAAGCCAAAATTACACAAGCGGAACAGCGAGAAAAAGAACGAATGAAAGAACAACGGCACTTATTATTTCAAAACATCTGACACAACACCTTTAAAGCAGTGCAGTTGCACACATCCCAAGGAGCAGGATAGGTCAAATTAACAAACAAAATTTTGTGCAAAGATATAAGGGAATAAATACGCTTCTGCGTAACATCAACGTTTAACGAACGAATAAGAATAAGCAAAGAGAGAAACAAATAGTGTTTAAATATTTTTACTGGGTGGGCCCAGTGGGGGCCAATTTAAAAAAAAAAAAAAAAAAAAAAGGAACACCCATTCGGTGGGCATCCCTCAAAAAGGAGACCTAAAGAAGAAGAAAACATTTTTGCGCTCATTACACACCTGTGATACTGTGCGTTTGGCCACTCGTCCGATCGCTCAATCGCCCAATCACCCGCACCTCTGTGCGTACAATTACGAGCGATGAACGGGCGTGATACACTCACGTGTGTGGACATATTCGTAGTCGGAAACTTTTTCTATGTCGTAGCGACGCATGGTGGTTGCTATCACGGGGTTCAAATAATCACTGTATATTCCCTCCTTTTGTAAAAATGAATAAAAATTATTGTCTTTGTAGAATTCAGCAATAGGTGGAATGCCGTCGTAACCTCCACAACACTTTAGGGTCTCCATTTCTTCAGCATAGGACCTTTTTTTTTCATATATTAGCTCTGTAATGTAGCTATCGTTCCTTTCGGGGTCTACTAAACGGCTCTTGTCAATATTACTTATCCAAAATCCATTCATATTATTATATTTATATTTTTCATATGTATTACCTTGTTTGAATAGTTTCTTCCCCAAATCCTTTTTATTTTTCAATATGTTAAAAACATGATTTTCGTATATTTTCCCCATATGTAGGTTCTGAACATTTGGGTGATAGTTCCTCCTGTCAAATTTGTCTTCATATATGATGATCGAGCCGATATGGCTCCTAATTGCAGGGGACATTTCCGATGATACTTTGAATGTTCTATTTGGACCCCTTTCAATTTGTGGGTATTTTAAAATCAGACCAACTGACTCGTTACAGTCCTTCATAAAATTGAGCAGCTTATGATTTCGCCTATACGAATCTATGACATTGTCTCCGTTCGAATTGAAGGGTAACTTGGTAAATATAACGTTTGGAATTTCTACTTTTCCGTTTCTTATATCATCTAGCGAGTAACTCCGTGGTTTCTTCCTTAAAGGTGAAGTTGTAGGGTCCTTTTTTTCTTCCGCGCAATTGCAATTTTTTTGATTTCCATGCTGTTTTTTTCGTTCTATTCCGTCCTGTTCACTGTTACATGAAATTTTCGTTAGCTCAAAATTTTCATCATTCAATGCACTCAATTTTGTGTTAAACATTTTTTTACCCCCCTGCATTTCTTCATTGGTGTAATATATCATCATGCGTTCGTTCATATGACCATTCGCAAGTTCTAATTTGTCCTGGCCCCGCTCCTTTTCACAACTGCCATTCACATATGCTGCACATTCTGGGTTGGGCACTACGGTAGGATGGCATACCTGATACCTGATCGTAGTTTTTGGGTCACCTGTAGGGCTAGACAAAGCATACCCTTTGCTAGAGAGGATCGATTGATCATTTCCACACTTTTTACTATCATGCAATGTTTGTCCATGTTCCAAATTTTCTTTAATGGGGAGTGAAATTGAAGAAGTTCTCATCGCACTTAGATGTTCTTCTTCACTAAAGGAATCATTTACCTGAATATTTTCTATTTCATTATTTTTTCTATTTTTCGGAGTACCAAATTGATTATTATTTTCCTCCCCATTATTTTGACCGCTGGTCGAAATAACCGCTTCGCCACTTTGTGGATAATTTGGTTCTGCCTTGCAGTTTACTGATTCCCCTTCCTCATGGATCGGTATTTCTGTGCAACAGAATTTTGCTAATAATGATGAAGCTAAACAGGAGCGAACTCCACTTTCTATGCGCGAAACATTGCTATTTACGGACGAATGGTAACAATTTAAATGTTCACCGTTCAGGCGTGCACAGTTTTCGCTCTGTGATGTAATTACATCGCTCAGGTGAAGGATGCTCGTTAGACATGTATTATCACTGACATGCTCATGTCTTTGAGGAAATAAATTTTCACTCCTCAAGTGAGAAACTTCACTTTTCTGTTCATCACTTGAACATTGCAGCTCTCTTGTATACATTTTCAATATTCGAGGAAGACTGTTCCCCCGCATGGAAAAATTACTGTTTATGGAAGCATCGTTATGTGTGCTTAAATCTAGGGAGGAATCGAAATATGCATTGGTGTGGACATTCTTTTCCGTTGAGCTTTGTACGCGTAACATGGTTCCCCTTTTTTGTGCCATCGTTACGTGTACAGGTTTTCGTGTGTGCAGCAAATAGCGAACCACGTGTGTAGAATAATGCTACGTAAATTAACAAAATGTAGAGCTTCAAAAAGAGGAGTCAGCATAGGCAGTGTACAAGGGGAGATGTGCAAAACGTGAACAAAATGAACATATACGTACAATGTGTTTAAAATAGGAGCACATTATTAATTTTTCAATTCGCATTAGCAACTTGTAAATTTGATCGATTTTGTGCAAACATATCTACAAGGGCAGATTGCTGAAAAAAAAATACTTATTTGCAATTTTATTTACATAGAATAGTAATAGCTAGCCAAAAAAGGAAAAAAAAAAAAAAAAAAAAATAGTGCTAATGTGTTGCAGACCTTCATTTAATGTTCATAAAAAAAAAAAAAACCTATCAATTATTTAAATTGCCTGTTCATAATTTATTTTGAGAATTTTATTTCCACGGTGTAAATAGCCATTTTACCCATTTGGCTGTAAAATGAAAAAAAAATTATGTATATATATACCAACAAAACAGACAGGTGAAAACAGCTAAAATGTGATGGACCATATAAAAAAAAAAAAACAGATTTTAAGAACATTTTACAGAAAGAATTTACCTTAATTTTTTTTAGTAGCTCTGTTCTACATGAACATATAAATTAAATTACATGTCGTTGAATAAATGCATACTGTATGGTTGACCATGTTGACCTTTTTTTTTTTTTTCTTGTTCTTTTGTGTTTACGTGGGTGTCTACCTAGGTATATATAATGCTTGCCACAGACGGAAAGAGCCTTTTCATTATTGCTCAACGCCACTGTTACGACTTTTGCGTTTTACATAATTTGTTATAGCGTTTTATGAACACAGGGTGTTATCAGGGAAATGAAAAAAAAGTTGCAAAAATGTAACAAGAGATGATTAAATTGATATGGAACTTTTCTCCTCGGAGGTTGGTACCCATGTGTACCTCCTCAAATATAATTTTATGCAGGTCTACACATGATATTTCGACAGGGTCTCCCATGTGGGTGTTTTCGCTCTGTATTTGAATCCACCTTTTTGGAAAAACAGCCAACATTAAATGTGTCATGTGTACTAACAATGTGCTGAACGTTTTTAAATCACATGACGCAATGTCCTGTTTTTTTACCTTATTCCCAGTGACAATTCAGACAAATAACAGAAGGAAAAAAAAAAAAAAAAAAAGCCGTTTTTTACGTAATTTTAAATTATATGTTAATGTGATTAAAAGAATGTGTGCGGAATGTGCTACCATTCTTCGAATAATCAATATTTTTTTAATATATGGTATAAAATTAGGTGATTTTTCCCTGTTCATTTGATGTATTTACCCCCCTTCCCCTCAATTTTGTAGATCAAAAAGAAAGCTATTGACTAATGATACTTTGTTACCTAGGAAAATAATTAAATGTACACCATATATATTTCAATTTCACTGCGTACATCTCATCATGTTAACAAATACAAATGTTGAAAGAACAAAAAAGGCAATCTAAAGCGCATGGTTTGAGATCTCATCAGAGTAAATGCTTGCAAAAGTGAAAGTATAATTTGCACAGTACGCTGAAAAGGAACAGTTTTCTGACATGTAACACGTTTGCAGATAAAATTTTTACATATAAAATTTGACGCATTTTCAATGCAAATAAAAACAAGTCTCCCTCGCAGTATATATCTGTACTATGCAAAGGTAGGTAGGTTTATATATTTAAATGTTATGGTCAAACCATTGCGATCACACTATATGACACATTAAACGGTAAGGTAAATTAACTTTCTTACATTTAAACAAACAACGGAATTTCTCTGAAACGATCATGAAGATTTGTATGTATGACATGAAAAGTTGCTAAAATGGTGATTTGTTTACCATATAATGGTTGACTTTTTAATTGTTTAAAAAAAAAGTATATAAACCCAAGTTAAAATTTGTTAAATGTATTTTAAAAAGGCGCTAAAATGCATAACCCGCATAAGCGCATAAACTGTTCAAAGGCGTAAACATGTATATTCCGTTCACCTGTAGAAAAAAAAAAATTCGCGTAATAATTTTGCGTAAGCCTGAAAGCAGTAATTAGGCAAGATGAAGGCTAAGGCCACGTGGTATATACAAAAAAATAATATTAAAAATTTTTTTTTTTTTTAAAGGGCAAAAGAAAGGCGTTAATCAAATCTTGCCTTTAGTTTAATTATTGTTTCAAATCCATAGTTAGGTAAAAAAAAAAAAATTAAAAACAAATTTAAAAAAAAAAATTACAATCACAATTGTACTACATCGCATTACATGGTTTGTAATTTCGTTGAATATATCAATGTTAACCCTTTTTACAATTCTTTCCTTCCACCGCTCTTAAAAATGTTTGCTAAATAAATTAATTATTTATTCTTTTTTCTTCCATCCCATATTTCTGATAGTGTTTAGTGTATGTTTTTTCTTTGTTATTGTTTTATTCTGTTTAACCCTTTATACAGCTATTAGCACAGCATATCAAAATAGTACATTTCTTCTGTTTTTGCCCTGCTCTTTTTTTTTTTTTTTTTTTTTTTGTGTCATATTGCCTCGTAATATATGTGGTTATTCGGACATATGCCTAAGCTTACATGTTGAGTACCCCCTATTGTACACGTAAATGCCATTTCTTACTTATGAAAACCAGTGCGCACATGTGAATGTCCCTATGGTACATATATAAATGCCCTTGCGTACGTACTAAGCTATTCCGGGCTCGCAACCACACGTAGTCACGCTCGTACGTACGTACAGGCGTGTATAGACTCCAAAATACATTGATACAATTTGCGTAAATAAGAATGTCACAGTTTCGCGATACGTTTACGAAAGATAGTAAAAAAGAGCCATTATTAAGCTATGATGACTCTGCATTTATTTTTTTCGCGGGAACTGTTCTAATTTGTGTGTTAATTCCATGTACATACATTTACATCAAATCTCTATTTAACAAAATTTTCAACAATGATAATAACAATTTAAAAAAGTCCAAGCACAACAGTGTGTACCGGTCCTGTGCATGTGCACTATGTAAGGAAAAATTAGAGAAGAGAAATAAAAGCACTACACTATGGGAAAAGTTAGGATATATAAGAATAATTCAATTTTTTTTGTTGGTGCTATTCTGGGGATTGCTGTTTGTCCTGGTGCAGCAGATGTTGAGTACGAAGCCTATGCAGACTTTTGACCCGTTCGAAATATTAGAAGTTAATGCAGGTGCAACAGTAGGAGAAATTAAAAAGGCGTATAGACTTAAATCATTGAAATACCATCCAGATAAAAATCCTAATGATACGTCAGCTGCAGCAAAATTTATTTTAATAACGAAAGCGTATCAAGCATTGACGGATGAAATATCAAAGGAGAATTATGAAAAGTATGGAAATCCAGATGGGCCTGGTATGATGAAAGTAGGAATTGGTTTACCCAAATTATTAATAGATGAAAAATATCAGTTGTTAATATTATCCATTTTTTTCTTAATATTTCTGGTCTTCATTCCGGCCGCTTTTATTATATATTACCAAAGACAAAAACAGTATGGGCCCAATGGGGTCAAAATTGAAACATTGCAATATTTAACGTACACTATAAATGAAAATAGTAGAGCAAAGGCATATCCAGAAATGCTCGCGGCTACGGCAGAAAGTAGGGATATCGAACTTCGTGAGGAGGATGATCAATATGTGAAGAAAATGATAGAAGAATTAGTAGAGCCAAAAAAGAGAAGCTTCAAAATACCCGTGATAACGAAAAATTACTTTTTAATATTAGCCCACATGCAAAGAAGGTATGATTTATTATCAGAAGAAATGAGAGAAGATTTAAAAAAAATTCTTCAATTTTCTCTACTCATAACACATTGTATGATAGAAATTAGCATTTTAAGGGATTGGTTTTTAACAGCACAGGCTGCCTTAACATTTAGAAGATGCCTCATACAAGCCCTTGACATTAGAAGTTCAAGTTTGTTGCAAATTCCTCATTTTACTGAAAATATAATTAAACATGTCCATAAGGGAAAATTAGCGGTGAAGGAAATCCTAGATTTTGTACATCAAAGTCATGAGTCCAGAAAGGGACTAAACGAAATGACGGATGAAGAAATTTTGGATGTCAAATCATTTTGCAATGTTGTTCCGGATATTAAGATGACTGCAAGAATTTTGGTGGAAGATGAGACTCATATTGTGAAGGGAGACGTGGCTTCGATTTACATACATATTGATAGAACCAATTTACATGAAAATGAAGCAGCTGGTTATATCCATGCGCCTTTCTTTCCTCAACCCAAATTTGAAGAATGGTGGATTGTGGCTACCTACAAGGGAGATGATCGTATTTTAAAATATATACATGTAAAAAATTGTGAAAAAACAATTGAAGAAAAGTTACAATTTATGGTAGATAGGGTAGGTAATTTGTGTGTGTCCATTTACATCCTCAGTGACTGCTATTTTGGATGTGATAAGAAATTGGACTTGCCATTCAGAGCCTACTCGCAAACGGAAATAAAGAGAGAAATTTTCGTGCACCCAGAAGACATCGAGTTGGACAATGAGCCAACCCTGTTCCAACAAATGATTGGGGATATTGGCGGAAGAAACGACAGCAGTGATGAAGAGGAAGCCGGTGCCGGTGGAGACCCAAATAAAAGGAACAGCTTCACACAAGGCGGCACCGGGGCGCGTAGGAACAGCCATAGCAACCAAACGAGCAGTGCGGGAAACGCCGGCAATGCTAACAGTAATAATAATGACGGCGGCCCGATGCCGCACGAATCCCACAAAGTCGTGTCAAGGGATCACGAACATTACGTGCCGGACGATGACACGAACGATGATTCGGCGGAGGAGGAGGATGATGAATAGAGCAACGTAGAGCATGTGCGTGCCATGCGCAGTTCACCCATGTGTGATGCATGCTGTTCACCCATGTGCGACGAAGAAAACCCATCCAATACGACGACATAGTAATATGCAGCATGTGACAAACGAGCCGGCTCGCGCAACCAAAAGAAAACACGAATTTGCCTGACGCAACCGTTGTCTCACCAACAAATTTGCGTAATTAAAAAAAAAAAAAACAAAAAAAAACAATTGTTTTTTTTTTAAAACACATAATGTATATATGTTGATTTATATTATTCTCCTTTGAACAGAAGTAGTTGTGTACCCTTCTTATATGTGGATTTGTTCTGCGTAGCCGCTGTGCGTAGCTTTTATGTGCGCCATCCATGGGCACCGTTGTGTGTACCAGCTGTGCGTACCTATTGTGTATACCCGCTATGCATTTCTGCTATGTGTATATGTTTTTTACGTGCAAACAGAAAAAACACATTTCATATAATTTTTTTTTTTTTTTTTTTTTTCATTAAGAAAAATTAATATGATAAAAAATTAACTTTGTCTAATTAATGCTTTTAAATTTTAACATTTAGAGGTTTTCACAAAAATGAAACATGAGATGAGCACCCCTCTTTTTTTTTCTCTCATCAACTGTTGCACCTCGGGTGAAAGGTGGCCACGATACGGCGTAGATACAATTGCCAACTTTCTTCATCACATTTCTGATGTAGAAATGGGAATGTTTGAGAGGTCAAGGGAAGCATCTTTAAAGAGCACATTGTAGCAACCGTGGGTGGACACATATATATACCCCTTTGGGTGTGCCAATTTTTTTTTTTTTTTTTCCATAATTGGGAAAAAAACATAAGTGGGTATGACCAGGAGTGCTTATTTAAGTAGTTGCGTGTAGAAAGGCGCACAAGTGTCTATGTATGTTTGCGCGTTCTTTCGTCTGGGCCATTGCTAGCGTTTTTCCACCAAATCTCACACGCATTTTTGCTCCCCGCTGGCTATGTTAAGCGAGGAATTTGACCAATTTGCAAACGGCACCATGTTGTCGGTTGGGCAACATTGTCTACCATTATGAGTACAACTATGTACTACGTTACGCACACATGTACGTACTATGTGTAGACGGGGAAGAGGAACATTTGGGACAAACTTTACAAACAGCTTGGTGAATAAAAGACAGCTACTTCCACGCCATGTGATATGAAAAAACGGAGAAAATGTTTACATACAAGTGTAGCTTTGAGCAGCTGAACAATTGACCACTCGAATAAAGTGCAACTTTTTTTTTTTTTTCTGTTACCTTTTTGTACGACAAAACGGAGTTCTTCCGCACTAAAATATGGGGCACGAGAATTGTATTAAATTCAAATTTTATTTTTTTAAAAATATATTTATTTGTGAATAAAAGGTGTTTTCATAGACACGAAGGTAATGTGTGAACGAATGCACAACACTTGTGTGGGACAAAAAAAAAAATAAAAAACAAAAAACGCAACTATGATCGATTTTTACACCAATTTATGCACAACATGTTAAGGAAAAAAATTAGCACAACAGAAGGGTAAAAATGTGTACACATTACATCACCTGGGAACCACACAAATTTTAACAGTTCGTAAAAAATTCGCAATTTGGCGAGGCTTCCCTCTTCCCCCAGAAGCGCTCACCATGGGCATTCACGTCACCCAAGCTAGCATGGGCATAGAAGGGGGAAAGTGCAATTTAGCTTTTCTCTTATAGCGTTTCGCTGAGGAAAAAAAAAAAAAAAAAAAATTCCAGTAAAAGCAACGGCATTGAGAAACATTAAACGAATGAAGCGACCCGAGGAAAACGAAATTTTGCAGAATTGTGATGAAATCTCAATTTGGGGAAAATCCCATTTTTGGGGAAATCTTCCCAACTTTGCGGAACTAAGCCAAGGCAACCCAAAACGGCAGCAAGATATTCGCACACAAATGGTGCCGAAATATTGTGGCAATTATTTCTAAAGACATGTCTACTTTGAACCACTTTGCTTTTTTAGCATGTTCAGTAAAGTCAAAAACGGAAAAATTTAAACTTGTTGGTTGCTTAAATTTTCGCAAATATTTACACCACATATATATATATTTTTTTGTTTAACAATTTTGGCATAGTTCGCAAAAATGTTACATTTAAATGTCTAGAAAAAAAAAAAAAAAAAAAAAGTGTGTACATTTCACACCAACAAACGCTTAAACTTGATTAAAATTTACGCTTTTACCATGTGGTTTAAAATTGTCATTTTAAAATTTCTATAACAGCACAAGTCTACATTGTAAACGTGTAGGGTGAATACTTTTTTTTTTTGTTGTTGTTTTCCTTGCAACTTCGCATTACTGCCTGTATCCATTAATTATACCATTGTGAAACGCGCAGTGTGAATTATATGATTTCTTCCGCCTTTTTTTTCACGCTGCTTCCTTTTTTTTTTTCCGCTTACCGTTTCTCTGTTTTATTTTTACAAATTTGAATAACGTTTTTCAACATGTGAGGATGTGAACAACAAAAAAGGAAAAAAAAAAAAAAAAAAAAAGATTTTTGATTTTAATTATTTAACTTGTATCATGATCCACACCGACTTGGACACTGACAAGTCATTGTGTTTATTTTTACACAGATATACATTTCCTTCACGTGCAAGCAGCACGTTGATGTATCGTCCCCCCTGTTATTTTTTCGTTTAAGTAGCTTTATATTTGTCTTCGTTGTAGTTTTTGTCACAGTATATACCTCCGTCTTCACCACGTCCTTCGGAACGTGCCTCTTAGCTGACACGGCTATGGATCGTGATTCACCATTTCTTCTTTAACATTTTATGAGTCAACATTTTAGCCGCACAAACAAATCTACTTTTTGTTGTATGGAAAAATTGCGCTCAGCATTTTCCCTTTAATTAATTCACCGCCCCATGATTGTCTGGCGAGACCCTGGCAAAAGTATTTTTAACAATCGCTGATTAGATGAGAAGTATTTGTACTCAGTGAAGTCAGCGAGAATAGGAATGAATTATTTGTCTTCTAGCAGGTGTAGTCGCCTCCATCTCGCCGCTTAGCCCCGCGTACCCACCGACAAAAATGAGGTCCCCATCGTTTATCATGCCCCACAACCTAATACCCTCCAGCAAGTACCACGAAATTAGAGCACAAAATGAAGAAAAGGAAAAACTGAGCAACCGAGATGTATACGAGTACCGTAGCAACAAGGTGAGTCCGATGTGCACCACCACCACGTTTAAGTCGCACCCACCAATCTACACAGAGAAGATAACCTACAACCCGAACGTAGTTAGCCAAGGTCCAGCGATTCCCAATTATGGTGCACATGGGGGTAGTCCTCGAAAGGTCAGTTGCATGAATTCATTTCCCTGTTTAAAGGGGCACACAAGGGGATGTAATGAAATGAACAATGGTGCCATAAATGGAATTCACAACAGCGGTATTTTTACGCACCCAACTTCTAGTGCTTACACAACTCGGTATAATGCTGCCCCAACAAACAAACGGTTGGTCAAAAAAGTGAGCAAAGTGCCATGCCTGTTCAATACCAAACCAGCATTCATGCAACACAGTTGCGAAAAAGTGTACAATGATGTGTCTGCAGGTCTCATCCACTTTGACTCCCCTTTGCATGGCGGTCAAGGGTACGTACAAATAAGTACACACGATGAAACGCCAATCTACCACATTAATGAAAAGAAAAATAAGAAAGACCTAGAAGTGATGGGAAAATTAAAGCACATGGAACCTTTTAAAAAGAGAGTGACAAAGGAAAAATTACCCGAACCGATCATAAAAAATAAAATTAATGAACTGATAAAAGAAAAGGATGAACAAATAAAGGAATTGGAAAATGAGATTCAAAATGAGAAGCGAAAAAGCGAAATGGTCAAACCAGACGGTGCAGAAAAAGAGAGGGAGTGCTCCAATGTAGAAAACAGAAAGCTAAAAGAAAAACTGTTGGACCAAAAAATTAAATATGAAGAAACGTTGAAACATTTGAAAAGGGTGGAAATCGAGAGAAGGTCCCTCAAATCAAGTTTGAACGTACGAGATAAAGTCCTGACGAAACTGGAAAATGAAATCGGCTCTGTGGACAACGAAAATGATTATTTGCTTCGTTTGAAGGAAAACACAAGTCTGAGTGATGTACATAACCTCTTCAAATTTTTGCAAGGCCGAGATAAAGAAGGTGATGAGGGGAGGTACGACAAATGTGCAGGGAAAAATAATGAAAATGGGAAGGGACTAAACAAAACGAATGAAAGGAACAATCGAGTTGATACATATGAGAGAAGTGACACATATGGGGTTAACGATGTAGAGGAGGGAAAGGATAAGGAGGATGAATTTAGCTGGTACAAGAGCAAAAGCACGTGTGAGGAAAGTCTCCTGTCACTGGAAGGGGATGAGTTAAAAGAGAACAAAAATTCATACAAGAAGGGAAAAAAGGTGTCTAAGTTTTCCAAGCCCAGTTTTGACAACAACGATATGTATACGCTAAAGTCAACAATCGTGGAGTTAGAAAAGGAAGTGTATGAATTGAAAGAAGAAAATAAAAATGTGAATTTTAAATACGAAAATACGTTCCAAGCTTTAAGTGAATTGAGGAAGGACACCCTGGAGTACATGGAATCCATCGTTTCACGTGATATGCGCATAGCATATATGGAGAGTATGCTACAGAAGAGCGAAAAGGATCTGGGCAAATTGAAAGAACTCCTAAAAAAGCAGCAACTCCTATACACTGAAAAGGTAGACAAATGCTCATCGGAGATAAGCATCTTGGAAAAGCAGTCTTCTCACCTACAATCCATGATACAAGAAAAAGATTCAGAAATCGTTTTGTTGAAAAATGAAATAATACGAAATGAAATGCTCGTCAACCAATACGAAGAAAGAAATAAAGAATTGCAAAACGAACTTCGCCTAATGTGCAACAACCTAGAAAACGTAATTGACGCATCAAACAAAAAAGACTTGTTCATGGTTGAACTGGAAAAACAAATTAGAGAAAATGAAGTACACAGACAAAATGCCTATTTGAAAGAAGTGGCCAACAATAGGAAAGTTCATGCAAATATGAAATTTAAAGAAATGATGTATGATAAATCTGCTAAGCACCAGGTGGATGAACTACACACCTTGAAGAAGGAACTCTACTTGAACAAAATACAAATGCAAAAAGCTAGGGATGCATTCGAAGTCCTTAAGAAAGTACCCAAGGCAGAAACTGTATGTAGAAGAAAGCAAAATTTCAGTCAAGATAACGATTCCAGTACTGTTCACAATTTTTCCGAGGATAAAAATGATCAGGACGGGGGACACACAACCTTCGAGACTAAGGTGTCTTCCGAGGCGGGGCCAGCACACAAGGCGAAGCACTCTGTGGTTAAGAAGAAGAAGAAGCGAGTTGCCAAGACGAGCACATCAACCAGTTTATCTGCAAGCATGCAGGAAAACACGCAGGAAAGTTGCCAAGGGGAAATTCAAGCATGCGTTCAAACAATAGCATAAGATGGACATTTGCGGCTGCAGCATACGATGGAAGCGTACACACACTTTATTGCTACGACGTGGCCACTGACCACACGAATTGCACCTTAGTTAACAAAAAAAAAAAAAAAAGAAAACAAAAAAGGACTACACGTTGCCCAACGGTTTAGACGAACGTGAACGATGTCCCCCGTTTGATACAGGATAGGTTCTTTATCGGCACACATGCAGGGGAGAAAAAAACGTAAGGCTTCTCCACTGGAATACACATACATCTGCATGAATACGCGTCTGTGAACAAGTGTATATGAGAATACACTCGTATGTTCTGCGCGCCTACGTGAAGGCACAGTGGCGGGTCGATTTGCTCCGCCGTTTGCTAAGGACACACCAGTGCCCCTAACACATGCCGCTGATCTATAAAAGATGACGAATTAACTGTTTTGCCTATTCCCATTTATCATTTCTGCGTGTTCAAACGCGCTTACTCATGTACATACGTAAGAACACATATATATGTATACACATTTCGGTCCACCCACCCTCGCACGTGAACCTGCATGTGGGACGACCCACGCATAACTTTGTGTGCACACCTTTCGCACTGCATTAACGATTTGTCCTTTTTTGGCGTCCATCCTTGACGGTAACATGGGGGTGCACCCTGCAGAGGGCGCTTCTAATTCCAGAAGGGGACGTTCTTATCAGGGACGCACTTCCATTCCTCCTCCAAAATCAACTTTGCCTTTTTCTTCAACCACCGAGGTTTCCAGTCCTGACTTAGCCACAGCCACTTACCAGACTTCCCCCTTTTCATCATTGGCCTTCCACCTTTAATTGCCCTTGTGTGGGGAAACCGAACGACCTTAAATATTTTGTCCGTAAAGAGCAGTTGGAGATTGCTCAAAAATTTAATGACACTCTGATTGTATGCCCCTAGATATAAAATTAAATTTTCAATGAGGACCTTCGATTTAGATGTGTCCATATCATTTAGGGGAAATGTTAATGTGTAAGATTGTAGTGCGTGGTGGAAGGCATCATCATACTGTTCCTTTAGCAAATATTTTATGGCCAACATTCTGCACACGCGACTGAGGTATCTTGTCTTTGCATTGATTTGCGAGGCTTCTTTCCATTTGTCCTTTTGTACTTCTTCCTGTTTTTCGCCTAAATGGGGGGTGATTTCCGCAGAGGCTATTCTTTTTGACGCAGCCTCTACTGGAGATTGGTTGGATAAAAATTCGTCTACCCTCTTTAGACGCTTCAAATGAATATTTTTAAAATTGTCAAAAGTGATGATCGGTTCGTTGAAATGAATCGACTGGACAATATGAGCTTGTATAGAAGAGTCTCCCTCTGCTGCTTCCAAATCTTTTTTTAGGTCCAACAAATGTGTGATTGTCAATTTTTCCTCATCGAAAAGAAGTAGAAATGCTTGGGCCATTAACCTGCTGTAGTGTTCATTTATATCCAAGTAGGAACTATGGTTGGCAATTATTTCATTCAAGACAAGTTTGATCAGATGAGTATTTTTTTTTTCTGCATTGAGTAAAAGTTCTAGCTTTTTAAAAATGACGTAAGTGGTGCACTGATATTTTAGAAGTAAATCGTTTAGCGTATCTTTTGGTAAAAGTTTTTCTTTCATTTGTAATGTAAAGTTGTTTTTGTCCTTTAGGGGCGGACACGTGGTAACATCCATATTGGCTTCCCCATTTGTTGTTACTATGGGTGGTGGGCATATCCCATGAAGAAATTCTTCCTTCTCCAATAACTCATTATAACCACTATTGGGAAGCTCTTCTTCCCTGGCCAAAAAATCGATCATATTGTTCACCTCTCGAATAGAGTTAAAATAAGTGCCACACCTTCTTAGTAGCCTGTCCACATTTGTTTGTTCATTTAATTCATTTCCGACCAGTTCATCTACTAGTTTATTTTTATGTCTTAACTGAATGGTGGGTAAGGATTTAATATGGAATTTACGAACGAGGAAATTATTCAAACTTACGTTTAGCTTGTATAGGGGCAATTTTTCAACTTCCTTGACTCCCACCAAGTCATTACTTAGGGATGCCAACTTAGCAAACTGGGTGAAACATCTATTTGAGTAATGGGCATATCCGTAGAGCAGAAATGTTTTCCTCTCTTTTATTACATGGTCATAATTGTGGTCATTTATTTCTTTCCATTCGAGAAGTTTTTTATCTCCATTGTTTAGCTTAGCGGAGGACATGGTGAATTGGCACTTTCGCAGGGGTATGAATGGCGCCTTGTGGTGTCTGCTATTTGTCTTCCCGGCTGATATGCACGGGGGCAGCAGTGCCGCGCGCATGTTTCTGCGTATTCGTGGTGAGGTCCCTTAGCCCTGCACTTAATCAATTTGCACACTTAGGATGATGCATTTGCTCCTTTCGCGATACAATACAGGGGTGGTACTAACACCATTATAGTTGCTTATTCAATTGGGGATTCTGCCCGCTTTTTTTTTTTTTTTTTTTTGCCACTCCAGGGGAAGTATATATCAACGGAGAAGCTGCGTTTTCGTTGTAAACCTTTGCAGGAAATCTAAGTAGCCGCTTCGTCACTTATCCGTTTATATGCGTACGATATACATCAGGATTCCCCATGTGTGTGCTTGCACTTTTGTGGGCGGCCTTTGTTATGTTCACGTCGGAGATTCTACTTCGTTACGGATATGGTCATTTTCTCCTCCATTTTTTTGATCAGCTGGTGCGTATACAAATTGCGCAGGGGGAGAAAGCAGTATTTACTTTGAATGCTACACTGCGACGTGGACGGTATTTTTTTTTTTTTTTAGAATGGAGGTAGAGAAGTAGAGGGGTTTCCCCTCAGTTCACATCGTAGAAAATTCTACCAAAAAAACTAACGGCGCACACGGGATTTTTTCTTTTTTTTTTTTTCCCCACCATTTGCACAAACTTACCACATCCAGGTGGAGGCTTAATTTCAAAATTGTATCGTCCCTTATACTGTCGTCATAAAAGGTGTTTTCCTGTTCCCGTCGGATGGCCATTTTTAAATTGTGCAATTCTGGCAAAAGCGGTTAGCCCCCACATGTGGTGTGCGTGCGTGTGTGTAGATGAGAAGAAGCAAAAATGAGAAAGAGTTCCTTGCATTTGTTGCAACGAGTGGTTTCTTCCAAAAGCCGCTCTCACACCTAACACCTATCTATGGACTCGTAAAGTTTTATGGTCCTTTCCAAATGATTACCTCTTACGACCGAACTTTGAAACTCGTAAAAGTGTCTGTCCTTTTCGTTAAACTTATCAAGAAGCCTTAAAAAAAAAAAAAAAAAAAAAAAAAACTGAACCATTGTGCATGACACCATTCCATCGTGTGTGTAGAGAGGCAAAGATGTTGGGGAGATGAACTCCCCTTTTTGTGCAATCCCAATTATGCACTTTTTACCTGCTTATATTTTTTTTATACTTATCCTTGATCAATTGTATAACGTTTTTTTTCTTCCCTAGTTCGGACTCGAGCTCCACCTTTTCGCTATGCGCCATCTGGGAGGAAAAAAAAAGAGTAGGGGAGTTACAAAAGGGGCGAAGTCACGGAATAGGTAGTATAAAAAAGTCCAACTAAAGGGAAGCATTAAACGCAACCAATGAACCAAGCGGACCACATTTAGCGCGTTCACTCGCGTGTGAGTCTGCATGTTCATTAGGATGCTTGCAAAGTCTCTGACCTCAAGGCTATTTCTAAGGTGCATATTTTCTGCCACCAAAAATTGCGAATGCTGCAGTTCCTTATTTCGGCTTCTTATCATTTGTCGGTATGTCTTGGATATGTCCGTCAGGTCCTTCAAGTGCGTATGTGTTTTAAGTGCAGTGTAGGAGGTTCTAAAGGGATCGCATTGAGTGAATAAAAGAACACACATGGAGGGATGCAGCAGCAGGAGATTGTCTTCCCCCCTGCTCTACTCGTAATTATTACCACGATTTTCTCGTTTAGTTTTACTATTTCTTCCTCCAAAGATTCGTTTTCTCTCCCCATTTTGGTAAGTCGATCTTCCAGGTTTTCTTTGTCCTCTAGTATTTCCGCCACCTCTTTTTCCTTTTCGATGTAGGCCCCTTCGAGATTCTACTTAAGGGTTTGTTAAGTTGGTGCAGTGTAGGAGGATGCATTCAATTATCTGCACGCACATGTGCGCTGCGATTTGTGTTATTCACCCTCCCCCTTTTTATGTGCCCCATTTTATATCCCCCTTTTTTCTCGAACTTGTAACTTTTTCCGAAGGGCCTCTGACTCCTTTTTCAAGACTGCCTTTTCGTGGTTAGATTTATTCTTTCAACGTTAGTATGAAATTGGGTATAGGAAAAATGTATATCAACAGGTAAGTGCCGTTATCTTTAATGTGCTCCTTTTTTGGACAGGACCATATTCTACGTGCAGCTTTTACGTAAAGGACCTATACATGCACACACACACCGCTGCCCCTGTTGCATGATCGCTTACCAAGAGGTTTTTATATTTCTCCTCCAAAATTAAGTACTCCATTTTTGCGCACCTGCTATTGATACGCGTCTTATGGGAGGATGCGGTTGCATATCTGCAAAAAGGACGGCAGCACTGAAAAGGTGGTTTGCAAATGTGCAAGACATTTTAGCTGATATGTCGTTCAATTATTTGAAGGATTATGTTCCATTTGATCACTGCATAAGTGGTTACATGTGCGTGTCGCTTGGTTGTACATATCTGTCTGTTCACAATTGTGCAAAATCGCATTCATTTTAATATGCACTATTATTATTCTTGTATGTTTGTCATGTGGTGCGAAAAATAACTGTGTTATAGATGCTTGACGAGGGTATATTTAGCTGGTGGAATATGTTCCCCCTCTAAGTGGCAGTTTAACTTATAAGTTACCACTGTACAAATGCCTTAAAGTGATGCGACATTGTTTTGCACCTTTTTAAATAGGCAGAAAAGGTATATACTCTGCGCAGATCGAAGAGCGACTTGCAGATAATGCACTCCCTGGGTGTTACCAGGCGGGGAATATGTTTCTTTTTTCTTCCCCCCTTAATGATGCGTTATTTGCACATGTGGGGGGTGGGGGAGAATGTACCCTATGTGTACACTACAAAATTGTGTAGTCTATATCTCCTTTTCACCTCACCTATGCGCGAAACTTTTTTTTTAAACTGTTCATAAAGCTCCTTCGTTGGGGAAAATTACTCCCATGTGTACATATGCCAGTACATAGGTGTTCCAATTTTCAAGCAAATCTATTTTATTATTTTTTTTAAAGTCTATTAATGGAGAAACGGGAAAGACATAAAATGGTGGACCTTTTGTCAATGTTTCATTTTTTTTTATTTTGTCTTTTGAGTGATATCTTGTTCATATTTTTTCTTTCCTTTTTTTTTTTTTTCCATTTTCCCATTTTCCATAAGATTTATTAGCAATTTTATTGGACTTCCAACGTAGAGTTCCCTCGTAGGGTCCCCCCTGCTGTTGGGCCCAGCACATATATATACACACACACGGGTGAAGGATGCTAAAGGGTGTAAATTGCACTCTCCCATGAAAAAGGAAAAAAAAAAAAAATATACCTACAGAAAAATGGACTTCAAAAATGCACAAATGTGTGGTGCGTGTAAAACCGCACCGTTCGCAAACTCATGCGCGCGACGTATTTTTGCCAAAAGGACATTTTGAAAGTTGACCAACTGGGGAATAACACAAAAAAATGTATGCTTGTTGGGCTCGTATTTTCCCGCTTCGGAAAAAAAAAACAAAAAAAAAAAAAAAGAGAGCGAGAAGGAGAGAAAAAAAAAGAAAAGGGAAGTAAATTTAAAGAATTTCTTATCCTGTGTCAGCTTATCTCAACAGAGGGAGATGAATCACAAAATCGTCAGAAAAGTGTTTTACATTAAGAGGTCCAAAACAACCGGGGAAATACTTCCAAAGTAGGGAAACTCTCCGGGGAGGGAGAAACTTCGCAACAGCTGTACTGTGTGCGGCGGTGGAAATGGTCAAAGGAGCATGTTGGAAATCAGGCACGGAGCAGAAAAAAACAAAAAAAAAAAACATAATAAACTGAAGCAGCGCACAGGGTGCGGCACGACAGTACGGAAAACGCACACCTCCTGACCCGATTCAGACGCTTAAAACGCTAAAACGGCTTAAACCGCTTGAACAAGACGAAGCCCTCTTTTCAAAATGCACATCGAGGAGATCATCCTGGATGGCTTCAAGAGCTATCCAACCAAAACAGTGATCGGGCCGTTCCATCCGCAGTTCAACGCGATTACCGGGCTAAACGGAAGCGGTAAGTCGAACGTCTTAGACGCAATCTGCTTCGTCATGGGCATAAACAATTTAAACCTGATTAGGGTTAATAGACTGGACGAGCTGATCTACAAGCAAGGACAAGCGGGAATCACCAAAGGGAGCGTAACGATCAAATTTAACAATGAGCAGAAACCAAGTCCTCTACAAGAACCGTACAGGGACATGAAAAACATCACCATAACGAGACAAATCGTTTTAGGAGGACGAAATAGGTATCTGCTAAATAGTCATAATGCAAAGCCAAAGGATATTAGCGACTTCTTCCAGTCACTCAAATTAAATATTAACAATCCTCATTTTCTAATTATGCAAGGTAAAATAACAAAAGTGATAAATATGAAGCCGGTGGAATTGCTGGGGTTAATTGAAGAATCTAGTGGAACAAAACTTTACGAGGTGAAGAGAACAAACGCAATAAAATTAATGGGAAAAAAAGATCAAAAGCTAGACGAAATTAATAAAGTACTAGTGGACGAAATTGAGCCCACGCTTGTAAAATTAAAAAAGGAAAAGGAAGAATATAATAAATTCATTAGCAATAATGAAGAAATTGAAAAATTTGAAAAAATCGAAATTGCATATAAATATTATGTGGCCAAAAATATGATGGAGAAAAGTAAAGAAAAAATTGAAGACGCTATGGATGAAAAAAAAGTTTTAGAAAAAGACATAAAAGATATCGACAAAGAAATTGAGATTTTTAAAAAAGAAAAGGAAAAGTTAACCAGCCAGACATATGTTGCTAGTGAGCCTATGAAAATACTCATTTCTGAGAAGGAACAAGTGGAAAAGAAAATCTCCCATCTTAAGTCGGAAGCAAAGATAGAAGGAAAAGAAAAAGAAAAGGAAAAAAAAAAAAAAGAAGAAATTAAAAAAGAAATAAAACGTATTGAAAAAAAATTAAACGATTATGAAAAAAATGACGAAAAAAATAATAAAAATTTAAAGTCTTATGAAGACCTGAAAAAAAAAATAGAGCTCTTAAGGGAAGAGCTTAGTGAAAAGCAGACAACCATTAACTGCTTGCTAAGTGGAGGGATCAACAACAGTGAGTACACTGGTTCCTTCAGAGAGCAGCTGAAAAATAATAAAACAAATCTGAGCCAAATTGAAACCCAGATAAATAACTTGCTACAAAATAGCAAACATCTGGAGAAGGAAATTCTGGCTTTAAAGGATCAAAGGAAAAAATATGAAAAGGAGTTCAGCGAAATGAGCAAGGAAAGAGAAACGGAGGGGAAAAAAAAAACTGCTTGTGAGGACGCATTACAAAAATTAAACAGTGAACATAATAACTTCCAAGATGTAGACCTTATTCAAAATGATAAAATGATGCTGACAAACGAAATAGAAAAACTACATCAGGAGTTACAAGTGTTGAAAAATTTAATCAACCATGTTAAGATCGATTTCAAAATACCTAGCAATGTGAACCCAACAGATGTCCTTGGACAAATATATGAATTGATAAAAATTAAGAAAGAGTACAATCAAACGGCCTTGGCCATTCACTTAATCCTTGGGGGGAAATTATCCTACATACTTGTACAAAACAAAGAGTGTAGTAAAAGCTTATTCGAATATAATAAATTTGCCATGGGAAGTAGAAGAGTAACCCTATTGCCTTTACAAGACTGCATTGTGTCAAGAGATGTGAATGAAAAAATTGTGGAAGAGTGTCGCAGATATGTTGGGCTAGATTCAAAAGATAAAAAAGACGTCATCTACTTCCTGGACATAATGGAATATGATAAAAAATTGGAGAAACTTATTAGGTACCTTTTTAATGGTACTATTATATGCTCCAATGTGGATCATTGTAAAAAGATTACTTACAACCCAAATAAAAAGTTGTCCTTCCCGACGATAACGTTAGAAGGAGATAAATTCGACACATCAGGAAGCATGTCTGGGGGATCCAACAAAAATATCAACCTCTTCTTACTTCACTATGAAAAATTTGAAAATAAAAAAAAGGAATATCTGGAGAAGGATCAAAAGTTGAAAGAAATAGAAGCCAAATTGGACATACTCAAAAAAGCGGAGGAAAAAAAAAAAATACTTTGCAAAGATTTACAAATTTATACCAACAATTTGAGCAATATAGATAACAGAATACAAACAAGCAAGTATGGAAACATATGCCAAAAAATTGAACAGTCCAAGGAAGAAATAGAAAAGGGGCGACAACAACTGACCGAGTTGTATGTGAAACAAAAAAAACTCACTGAGGTGATACACAAAATTGAAAAAGATATCTCAGAGTATGAAAACAATAAAGACAAAAAAGAGGAGGACCTAAAAGATTCAGTTCGAAAATTAAAAAATAAAATAAAACTCCTCGAAAATGAAGAACATAAGAAGAAGGAAGAAGTGGATGGAGTAATCCTTCAAATAGAGAATTACAAAAAACAAATGGAAAAGGAAAGTAACGATTTGGTCATCGCTGATGAAACTATAAACCAAATTGATAAAAAAATTGAAGAAATTGAACATAATATAAATGTTGCATTGGAGGAGCTGAAAAACCTTGATAAAAAAATTTCAGAACTCCAGGCCAGTTTCACTTGCTATGAAAATGAAATAAAACAGCTAATAAAAAAGATAGAAGGTCTGGAAAAAAGGAAAAGCGAACATATGCTTGATTTGAAGAAGCTAGAAAATACTTTAATAGATTTACAAAAGGATTCCCAAACGGCAAGCGACACTGTTAAGTATCTTAACAAAACACACGTTTGGATCGAATCCTACGAACCACTCTTCAATAAGAAATGCACTCCATATGATTTTGAAAATTTCAGACATGACGTCATAAAGAAAAAAATACAGGCCCTCCAAAATGAACAGAACAAATTGTCCATAAACATCAACAGGAAGGCTGTCCAAATGTATGAACAGGTGCAGGTGGATTACAAGGATCTTATTACGAAGAAGTCTCAGGTGGAGGAAGACAAGAAAAAGATACAAGAAGTTATAGCAGATCTGGATGTGAAAAAAAGCGAGAGTTTACTTGCTATGTATGAGCAAATTAATGAGTACTTCCAGGCCATTTTTTCCACGCTGCTCAATAATGCGCAAGCTAAGTTGAGTGTGGTGGATGGTGACCTCTCCAACGGGATTGAGATGAAGGTATGGTGCGCACGGGTTTCTTTCACCCCCCCTCCCCCCCCATTTGCATTGTCGCTGGTGCCACTTCATATGTGTGAAACTCCATTGTGTCCATGCAATAGGGCGTGAAGATAACGGCACAAATTTTTTGCTCCTTCCCCATGGAATGCACACGCGAAGTGTCACATGTGGGGATTCATAATGTGAATGCGGCTTGTCCATTTCTTTTCTATGCTTTACTGTTCTTCCCTCCCCTCTGCAGATCGCCTTCAACAACAACTGGAAGGAGTCCCTAACCGAATTGAGCGGAGGCCAGAGGAGTCTCCTGGCGCTCTCGTTAATTTTGGCGCTGCTCAAAGTGAGAACCGTCCCGATGTACATACTGGATGAAATCGACGCGGCGCTGGACCTAAACCACACACAGAACATCGGAGATATGATAAGGACGCAATTTCCAAACTCCCAATTTATTATTGTCTCGTTAAAAGAGGGTATGTTTTCCCACGCGGACGTTTTGTTCAAAATGAGATTCATCGATGGCATTTCGACCGTCAACCGACACTCGCTTGACATTAGGCAAAGCAAAAACAAGGAGGTCACCGAGGTGAAGCGCCGAAGGGTTACGATTCATGATAGGGATCCGGACGACGACTGACCGTTCGTCTACGTATGACCGCTGCGTATCGGCGTACCCATCGTTGTTGCCATCGTTGTGATAACGAAATACACACATATGCGCCCATGCGTGTGTGTGCATGTTTAGCTTCCTCTGCGCCCCATCTACCCTAGGTGAGCAAAACAGGCCCAACTTTTGTGACGTCACGTACATGTGCTTTCCATCCTGCTTTACACAGCACCATGTCGTGGCATAACGTAAAAAATGTAACGACGCGTAAATTTTGAAATTTACAAAAAGGAAATAATTAACGATCATGTTTTTTGAGACTAATTCTCATAGCTTTCCCCACTCAGTGTGTATCTATACAATTGGAAGGGGAGGGGAAAAAAGGGATTTGACAACTCCTCTGTGAAGCACGCGCATAGAATTGTGCCAAATAAGGCGTAAAGTTGCTAAGAATAAAAAATAAAAAAAAACAAAAAAAAAACTGACGAGGGCACATTCCAATAATGCATAGGTATACACACAAAGGGTTCGATCGCGCCAGCTAATGGTCAGCAACTGATGCTAGCCCCGCCAATTCTTCCACCCGTCATCGCAGAACGACGTCGGCCAAGCTCTGCACCAGGTCCTCGATGATCACGCTTTTCATCAGGTCAGATATGGATTGCAGCTGGAAGTAGGTGCATATCCTGTGCTCCACATTGCTCTCATCTGTGAAGAAAACGTCGTCGTATTTCCTCGTGAATAGAAATTTTCCGTTTTGAAGATCTACAGCTAGGTACCTTTTTGTCCTCGAATTTAATATATGGACAAAGGATTTGTTAATTTCTTTATTGTACTTATTACACCGTTCCAGTAGAAAATGCGCGCTGTGGACATTTTCAATTTTCTCACTCTTCATTTGAACAGCAATCAAATGTTCGTCACTTGGTGAGGACAGATAACACCCTATTATATTTTTGTTCTTATCTTTATTCATGTTGTTCATTTGGTTTATTTCCCCCTTTGGTATGGATCCCTTATATTGAAACGACACTAGGTGCGCTTCGTGGAAGTCTCCTTTCTGCTTATTTTTTTGCTCATTTGAAATTGGTTCCATTTTGGGGTTCACTGGGGTAGGGCCACTTCTTCTGCTGGTGGGGTTTTCATCGGGGGTATCACTACCTATTCTATCAGTCAAATGGCTCCCCAATTCATCCTCCACACAGTCTCTATCTGGTGGCGGACTGTTGTTAACGGTGTGGAGATCTCCCTCGAAGGGGGTCAAATCACCATTGCCCCTGCTATCTCCTAGGTTGTTATAATCGGTAGAAATTAAATTATCTACACTTGAAGTGTTACTCTCTAGTGGACATTCTCCAATCTTCGTGGAATTACTCAGCAATGTCTCTTCCACTGAGTTTACATTGATTAAATTCTTCTTCTCTCCTATAAGGTTAAATGATTCCATTTCTTCATCTATCCTTTTTTCGTTTATATCCCTCCCTTTCTCACCTTGCTGTTTGGCTTCCACTCTGTGGGAGGAAGTGCTCCCCGGGTGAAATTGATTCCTGTCCACATCACTCTTCCCCTCTAATGGGGCAGAAGGGGGGGGTACTACCGTTTTATTCCAAGTAGGATCTGTTCCATTCTGATGGGGTGACACCTGATCAGCATTCACCTCTGTGTGATCATTTCTGAGAGGACCTTCTTCTACCCTGCTAGACTCATCCTTAGTTTTGATAAAATTCCTGGAGACCCTTTTCGAAGAAGCCATGTCTTTATTCATTTCCGCATTTTCCACCTGACCCTGGGGAAAAAACTCCTTTTTATTATTATCACTATACCAATTGTAAATGTCGTTAAAATAGCCATAGAAAAAATTCCAAACAGGGTTACTATTTTGCGAGAGCAATTTTGTTTCCCTTTCATATGTATGATAGTTGTACCTATAATTATTATTTAATGTGTGCATTTGAAAGAACCCGATGTCTCTTCCAAGTACGACTTTCTCAGTTTCTTCAATGAAATGTGGTTCTATGTCGAAAAATTTATCCATGGATGCAACTTTGATGGAATAGGTTCTAACTTCCTCTCTTAACATTTTATTAATAATTTGTATTTGTTTTATTTTCCCCATTACTTTATCATTGCATAAGAACTTGCTTCCTATTTCATTTACTATTTTGTAAAACACCTCAGAAGTGTCTGCCCCCATGGGGTCTTTTTCTTCATATGTATGGCAGCTAGAAATGTCCTGTAATAGGCTACTACATATGTAGTGTAAACATTTCGAATTTGCCCGTTCCGCGTCTTCCTTCCCTCTGGTTTTGCTCATATGTTCATAGGTTTTTACCAGCCTGTCTAGACACTCATCTTGGAGAAATAGGTATATAAAATTTGCTAGCATTTTTTTTAGAAGAGTGTTCTCATTGTGGGTAATTGGTTGGCTGGGTTGGTTTGTGTCCTCCACCGTCGACGTCAAGCTCTGCTGATTTGATAACCGGCGGTACAACTCCACGAAGAGTCCCAACTGGAGATATCCACCGTCACTGCAGCCCGCTTCACCGCCCCTACTAATAATGCCACTAGGTGACCTCCTCATTGATATTGACTTATCGTCATCCCCCAATTTGACCCCGCCCACGTCCACCATTTTGCTATAATTTGATCGTAATGCTTTCGAACTGACATGAACCATTTTGTGTGCCTCACTTGCTCCGCGGAGGTACTCTAATTTTTTTTCAGACATATAGAGCATCAAAATGTATTTTTCCTCTTTTTCTAAGTTGTCCACCTTTAGCCCTAATTTTTCAAAATCGATTTGGTACATGTCGAATTTTTCAAAGTTGATGAGGCCGACGTCGGTGTCATTAATGATGGCTAACTTCTTTTTTATGGCATCTACCTTGTTAGCCATGTCGTCCATGCTTTCTTTCTTTTTTGCACCGTTCACAGTGCTGTTTCTACTAATAGTGTACTTTTCAATCGGAGAATCTTCCTTGTGTCTTTGGTTGGGCATCCTAAACACCCCCCCTTCTTCATGCTCTTCCATGATATTGGACCTTTCCTTCATTTCTAAGTTATCGACCGTGTTTCGATTCTCAAAATTATTTGCCTTCATTTTTACAGACGAGATGATATCACTTTGGTATCTTTTCATTTGGGGTGAAAATATTTTCCTATTCGTTGTTCCTCCTTGTGAATATTCTTCGCTTGTTGGGAACCCGGAGCCATTGATGTAATTTCCACCGCTGGATCTGGCCGTGCTCGAATTGAACTGGTTTGAATATTTAGAAGAATACAGTTTCGATTTATTCAAAAGAGATGATACTTCTCTGTTAAGCCAAAATTGCTCCAATTCGCTCTCCTTGGATTCCTCTATTTCGGAGTCGTCGTATATTTTTATATCTGCTAATTCCTCTGACGATCCAGAAGACGTTCTTACCGATTCGTTTATGCTTTCTACATTGATGACATCGCGATGTTCACTCGATTGAACTTGATAACTTTCCATTCTGTTAATTTTTTTTTTCATCACTTTTTCGACTTCATCTCCAATTAGTGCACGCGAAATGGGTGAAACCTCTTCATCCTGTTGCTCCTCCATGTGGTCACCAAAGACGCCGCTACTTTGGTTATTCCTGTTTGTTCTAACAAGGCCAACCTTATTCACACTTCCTATGTCTTCCTCTTCCCCCGTTTTGAAGCTACTAACCCTTTTAAGTGAATTATTCATATTCCTCTTTTCGGTTTCCGCCAAAATGTGCTCAATGGAATTCACCTTTTTCTGAACTATGTCTTCTGTGTCACTTTGTTGTATGGAAAATCTTTGAACCATTATTTGTTCCTCAGAAGACTCCTTTTGTGATCCATCCGAATATTTCTTCTCCCCCGGGGGATAAAAATATTTTTGATTACCGTTTGGCTTTCCAAATGTATGGTTTTTGACTTGTGAATTTAGGGAGATTTTTTCAAATTTTGTTTTAATTTCGCGATTTTTCTCCTTTCTCAATTCCAACACACTCAATTCATCATTTATTTTTGTTGGAGTTAATGTTTTTATGGCGCTTTGTTCTTTTTGTTCTTCTTTTCCTTCTTCCTGCACATTCTGCCCTCTTGTGTTCTTTGCGTGTAACTCTTTTCCAATGCAGAAATTGCTTATTTCATCAGAGACTTGTTCACTTTTTTTTTTTTTTTTTTGTAAGTCGTGGGTATGCAGTTTCCTCTCTTGTGTGCAATTTTTTTTTTCTGTCATACGATCATTTGTTACGCTTTCTTCTTTTTTTACCGCAAGATCAGGTTGTGCGTTTTGAATGTTTTGTGTAGCCCGTTCGCTTTCGTCCTTTTGTTCATTCTGGTTGCTCTTGCCGTTTAGTTGATCGAACTCGTCTGTGTCACTATGCCAGCTCGGTTCGTCTTGCCCACTTGGCGAACCATTCGCTGCGAACACACCTACTTCACCTTGTGTCATACTTTTCCCCTTGTTTGAGTCCCTAAAAGACAAAAATTGATCCATACTTCCAGTTCCCGCACTTTTCAATGTCTTGCTAGCCGCGTGTGCGCTTCCCCCCTTGCTTATGGGCATAACACTGGCCTCATTGATGTGCCCATTTTCTGCCTCGTTTACGTAATTTGATATGTGACCAAACGAAAGAGGAAGCGACTTTTTCTTCGAGAGCACTTCTGACTCATTGCGTAAGACATTTTTTTTGGAGTAGTTATTTTCCGTTTTGCTGCGTGTGTACGTTACATCCCATTCGCGATGTTGCAGCATGTTCACAAAATTATCATTGTGTGTCGATGAGTTGGCTTGATCCCTACCGTTGGCGATTTCTCTGTCAGGTGTATCTTCCTCAAATGGGAAGACTTTAACCATGTCATCGTTTTGGCCCCCGTTTGATACATTGAAATGCGCATCTTCATTTTGATTGGTTCCCTTGGTGTTAAGCTTCTTGACTTCGCCGCCGATGGACTTGGTGTCTCCTGCATCCAGCTGGCCCTTCATCCCGTGTAACTGGTTCGCCTGCATTTCTCTCAAGTGCATAAAAAATGTTCACCAAGTGCGTATATATACCTCTACGTGTGTACACAAGTGTAGCCACTCTTATACATTTCGCGTGTAGTACGTCGTAGGAGCAATTGTCGCCTGTTTTAAACTCATTCGTGAACGATGAAAAAGAAAAAGGGGACAGCACATACAGTTGTGATGTCTTACGTGTTGAAGACACAAATGGATGTATTGTCTACGTCCAAGTGGTGTCAATAAAAAGACAACAAAACAAATTAAAGCGTACAAGGGATGATCCCGCGTAAATGCTATTTTTCAAAATGTCTCTATAAAAGCAGCATAAGTTATTCTACAGCGTAGTACAGGAAACGGCCACAAACAGATGAGCACGGCATGCATATGACATGCGAATAAAATCACACATCTGTGTGCTATGGTACCAAATATGATGAACAGAGTGCAACACAGGTTGGTGCATACTTGATCGTAAATAATGCAGCTACTTGTACTGGGGTGGCTGATTCGTTTCCCTTTCTCCTTTTATTTTTGCACTCATAAGGTGTAGTTGCATGAGCCAGTGAGACAGGAAGTGTCTCCTTATATTAGCATCTACGCTTAACGTGGACGTATGCACATGCACAAGTATCTATATATATATACATATACATACGTGCAAATGCGCGTTTTACAAAAATGACAACGAGATTAATTCTCCATATCATCCGACGCATAAACAAAATAAATGTGTGCGTGGTTGGCCATCTTGCCACAAAAGAGAGCTTACAACACACAGTCGTTAACAAAAAAAAAAAAAAAAAAAGTTGTTTCTCCTTTTTTTCAATACTTTGAAACCTTTTTAGTAGACATTTTTTTTTTTTATCCCTTTTTTGTGCCACATTTTTGTACATTTATGAAACAAAAAAAAGAAAAAAATGAAAACATTAAAAATGAAAATAAAAGTCACTGATTTGTGCGTGCGTTGTCATACTGGCAGGGGTCAAATGCAATTTTTGGCTAGCTGGAAAAAAAAAAACAAAAAAAACTTCTGACCTGTGCATATCAGTAACGAATTAAGTCCTATACATGGAAGAACAAGAAAAAAAAAAAAAAAAAAAAAAAAAAAAAGCGAAAAAGACAACCTTTTATACGTGGCTCATGTTCTTTTAAATAGGCAAACATTAAACAAACACTTTATGAGCAATTTTTATAACATCATAAAACTATCCAAAGGGGGGGGTGTTAATTTTTCGAAAAAAGTTCAAAAATATCATTTTCAAACTGCGCGTGTGTCATATGTCTCTGTGTTTTTTTTTTGTTGTTGTTGCCTTTTTTTAATATATACCATTTGGGGGGTAAGAACAAGGGAAATCAAACTTTCAAACTTTGAGCATTCATAATGACATAAAGTACTTATGGACGCATGTACCTCTGCGCATGTTCACAAATGAGTGCAAATTACATATGGGGGGTACAGACATCAACTTGTTTGTACGAACGCAACGTACACTTAATGTCCTGTGAAGCCTGTCCAGTTGTATGCTTTTCCTGTGCCCCCCGTAACGTCATGATAAAGTTATGGTATCTAAAAAAAAGTGATAAATAAAAAATGCGAGGTGTGAATCGAAGAAAAAAACGTGAGGGGAGAGTCCGAATAAAAGACAATTTTGACGCAAAGATGGGACAGTAATTGGACGAGTTCAACGAGGAGGCACCTGTTAGAGGAAGGCGAAGCTGCCCCGTCTGTTGTGACTGATGCGCGTTGTTTTGTGTAAAGGTTACAGTTCACCAGTGGAGCAACTCTTCAGCGTGGCTCCCGTGTGGGGATCAATTTAGGGCAGGACATTTGCATTCGCACTTCAAGCAGAATGGCCAATTAGTATATTTCACTATACAGCCGGCACACATATGTGTACAACTTTTCCGTTATCTCTTTTTCGTCCATGGAGGGATACACATCAAAAATGTCTTCCCCTAAATTGATCCCCACTGGGGAGTATGCACAGGACCGCTGTTTTTCTATTTCGTCAACATCGACGCTGTTGGAAGGAGGACATATATTGTACGTGTTCAGTGCGAGTCCTATGAAATGCGTTTTTATTTTTGCCCGTTTTGCAAAGATGTAGAAAGTTTGTATAATTTTTGGATCAAAGGTAGAAATTTTGATATTCCCATGAGAGTCTCTCCTGTCTCTGCCCCCACTGGGAGCTAGCCAAATGATATTTCTCCCTTCTTGTAATAAGTTTTTCAGAGCGTTTAAAGATTTATGGTTGAACATAATTTTTTCTTCTCTAAGTTGTGGAAGGTTCTCAATATATTTTTTGGAATAAATGCAGAGCAGGTTAGCTGAAACGCTAAATGGTCTCGATAAAGGATCTGCCCTTATTTTATGACCCCCAATAAAAATAATATTTCGGGAAATATTACTCGCATTATGAATATGAAAAAAATATTTAATTATATTTGCATCAGCTTCTATATGGTGATTACTGAATATGATTATGTTGTGTCCTTGTTCTATCCATTTTTCCATTTGGTCAATGTGTTGAGTGCCCTTAAATTTAGAGTTTTCATGATCAATCAGTTGGGACCAGAATTGTAATGACCATTCGTGTAAGCTTTCATCATATCTGTGAACATTTGGAAAAGTATAATATCTATACTTTTTAAAAGAATCTATATACTTTAAAAAAATTTCTAAAAATATTTGTGGAGAACAAGGTTTATGTCTTTTCATTTCATCAAAATAGTTTTTTAAGAACCCAGAGAATGTGTTGATGTGTTCCGCATTCTCCGAGTTTTCTCCTTTTAGCGTCTCTAATTTGTTACAGATTATTTTTAGGGCTTCTTCATAGGTGTTATTTTCCAGGGTTGGGTAGATCAACTTGTTCGCGCTACTAATCGGAGGGGTGTGTACTTCAATGTTGTCTCCATTTGGTGAAGTCCAAATTGGATTTTGTGACGCACGGATGGTACCTTTTGTGTGTGTACTTCGAATCCCCCTAACCGCGCTATCGCAGGGGTTGTAGTTTTGTACATAATGCAACGACTTCTTCTTAACACTGTCGACATTAGTCACACGGATGGTAACAAATAACAATACGGTTAGCAGTGCGTTGCTTAGGTGTAGCATTTTTTTTCGCGTCCGTTCTACAAAATGGGTCCGATATTGGATGTATATATGATCAGCGTAATGGGATGGGGGGAACAGCATAAAAAATGAGGGTGTGCAGACTATTTCCACTTTTCGCATAACAACGACAGTGGTGCACGTACAACACCTTGGCCTTTCCGCGGTTGCACATTGTTAGTTGTGTGTCGTTTTAGATGCGTTTGTTCATCAGTGGTTGGTTGCGCGTGCGTGTTGTAAGTCCCTTCTTGTCACTCGTTCGTGCACTTGTTTTTGTTTTTTTTTTTCTTCCCTTTTTTAATTCTCCCCTGCCCTCCCGCACGTTTCTTCATTTTCCTGCGCATATGCCGCCATTTGTGGAATCCCCGGTTCAACCTGCTGCACAAGCGTTATGCAGAGCTCTGTGGCAACGTCGTGCGTGCGAACGGGGATTCTCAACTAGCCTCCATGTACGTACGTTATGTACATTGACACATGTGCACGATCGAGTAACGCCCTCTGCACATACATGTGTTCTCCGACGCCTCCCCTGTAGAAGGGAGGGGGATCTTGCACGAGTTGGCCTTTTCGCCACGCGCTAATTTGAAATGCAAAAAGGGAACAAAAAAAAAAAAAAAAAAAAAGATAAAATAGAATAAATAAGATACGGAAAGGTACAGTTAGGTAATTCATCCTACTTTTTTTTTCACCTCCAAATGTGCACAAACGAAATTTCTACATTTCCTCAATAAGGAGGAGAGGAAGAATTACGACATTGCCTTTTTGTACAAAATATTTTTGAAAAATTGGTCGCATAGAAGAGAAAACTATATGAGCACTTCTTTTCCATTGCGCGTAGAACTATATTAACCAATACGTGAGCTAAATGAAGGTTTGATCCGTGTGATGAATTGAGGAAAAGAGAGCCACGGTGAAGCACAAGCACAGTACGAGCATGGTACAAGCCACATGGTAGGCGCAGCGTGATACGCAAAACTCGTGTGTGTACGAGCTGCCATTTATATATGTGTATATACGCACGCAGAGGCGCACAACTCGAAATACTACATTTGGACAAACGGCTTATCCATTCCCTAGGGACATATACCCTGTTATGGAAAAAGCTGCCACATGAGGTGTACACACCGTTCAGGAGTGTGAAGCGAAAGGTATTCACATCCGGCGCACACATGCTGTGCGTCTGAGTTTCTGCCAATCGGCCCATCTGCACATGTACACCTATGATCACACATCTATACAAAAGGCGCGAAGATAAAAAAAAAAAAAAAATGATTGCAATTATCTTGTTCCTGGTGCTCACACTTTTAACAGAAAAGAGCAATACATACAAATTGAGCAACAACAGAACCACTCTAAATTATATGTATGTAAGTCGAGGAATAAATACCCCCCAAAAGAGAGCCTGTTCCAGTTTTATTAGCAAGCTGGTAAGTGGTAACAAAGCGTCATGCCTTCCTGTAGGTGGGGCCAGAGCAGGTAACGCGCGACACACTGCTAGTGACTTGAGCAATGATGGTGACAAAAGGAGGTATTTCAAATCGGCCAACAGGAACAAACTCTTTTATAACATCACTCTTCGAACAAATGAGGGAGAAAAAAAAATTCAATGCGATGAAGATGAGTACATATTAGATGCTAGCGAAAGACAGAACGTTGAATTGCCGTCCAGCTGTAGGGGAGGAAGCTGTTCCACTTGTGCTGCCAAGTTAATCGAGGGGGAGGTGGACAATGAGGACCAGAGCTACCTGGACGAAGATCAGCTGAAGAAGAAATATATTCTGTTGTGTACTTGTTACCCCAAGTCGGACTGCGTTATTGAAACGCACAAGGAGGATGAGCTCCACGATATGTGACTTTCTGTGGTCTCCTTTCACAGCCCCCCATGCGATTATGCTAGTTTTATGCGCGCTTATATGTGTCTGCACGTGCTGTACGCCTGAACAAGGCGCTCGCGAAATGTTCCGACCATTGGGGGCATTTCCCTTTTTTCGTGCTTAAATAAAAAGAGTTAATCGCTCTCTTTAAGGTTGTTTTCATACTAAAGGGGGAAAACATACTTGTGGAATGCAGAGCGATGATGGACGGTTCACGCTTCAGACCAGGGTATATCAAATGTGATCTGTCCTGTTTCCCGTCCGTACATAACTTGAGCATTCGTTGCACATATTTTTAATTCATGCATCCTTACACTCCTCCTTTTGATAACCTATTTTGAAGTTTCCCTTTTGTTGTCTTTCGTCCACTGTAGCAGCCCTCTCCTTCCCCAACTTGACGTTTTTTTTTTTTTTTTTTTTCACCTATACATTTTCGCAACCGTGTCCATTCGAAGCTAAGCGGACATGTCATCATCTCCCCCTGTGCTCATATGACTGGGGAACATCAATTCGCCTAACCAACACGCATAGTATACATGTAAGTATATGCGTCCGTTTTTTTATGGGCACGCTTTTGTCGTGGGTAAATACTCGCCCGCCACTTTCCTGGCTGAGCGCCATGCCGTGCACTTTATGCGCACGTGACTTTGCACTTTTCTTAAAAGGTAAAAAAAAGGAAAAAAAGAAAAAATAAAAATTGAACGCCACGAAAAGAGCGAAATGACTGTGCAAAAAATGATACGCCACCCCCAATTGGCCAAAAATAATCCCCCCCCCAAAAAAAATGTCTTTTCCCATAGGCGCAAATGTCTACATTTTTATCACAAAACATTGCTCAGGTGTTTCTTTCTTTCTTTCTTTTTTTTTTTTTTTTTTTTTATTTTCCTTTTGGCTAAACGATTCGTATACAGATTTGATGTTTTACAAATTGTACATTAAAAATCTGCGCAAATCAGCCAAGTGGCAACACTTCTTTAAAGTGTTGTTTTGCGAAGATCTACGAAATGTTTTGCCTGAACAGGGCGCAGTTTAATGGTACACAAGTGTGAGCACGTACGTATGTATATATGTGTAGTATGTTACACACGCATGTGTTTCGTCGTCCCCAGGAATGAGCAAACACTTCCAGACACTTGAAGCGCAGATCTAGACAGGTGGACACATAGGTATGCGACGAGCGACGAAACAATAGGAGGTGGGGCAATTGCAACGGTCGCCGGGGCACACAACAACAACTGCTGCAGTTTTAAAAAAAAAAAAAAAAAAACGTAACAATGAGTCACGTGCCACTTGCGTGCTCCCCAAATCATTGCATCAATATAAAGCGTGTAACTACGTGGTAAAGTTGACTGACAATGCGCACTTGTATGTAGGCGAGCGACCAAAATGGTGCCCAACGCATGTCCATAGCAATTATTTATTTATTTTTTTTTTTTACTTTTCTGCGCGTGCTTTCCACCCAAAGCAGCATTCAGGACATGCTTACATTTGCGCATTTGTGAATACCCGTAGTGTGATGTATAACACGCATGCGTTTAAGTCTACTTGATAATTTTATCCCCATGGCAATACAACAGTGCAGTCTACATTTTGCGTGCATTAATTAAAGTGAAAAGGAAAGACAACAAAACAGCAACATAGAATGCACTAGTGTCACATGTGTACTCTGTATTGGTACCATTTAAAAGTGACCAATAAGTAGAAAGTGGTGAAAGGGTCATTACTCATCATTTGTTCATTATAACTAATAAATTTGCATGTGCACTTAAATTTTGTGAACAGTTTTTTTTTTTTTTTTTTTTTTTTTGCGAAATTTTTTTTTTTTTTTTTTTTTTTTTCCTACGAAAGTTGTTGTAGCTAGTTGGAAGGAGTGAAAAAAAAAAAAAACTGTTAAAAATTTTCGCAACCGTGTCCATTCGAAGCTAAGCGGACATGTCATCATCTCCCCCTGTGCTCATATGACTGGGGAACATCAATTCGCCTAACCAACACGCATAGTATACATGTAAGTATATGCGTCCGTTTTTTTATGGGCACGCTTTTGTCGTGGGTAAATACTCGCCCGCCACTTTCCTGGCTGAGC